TGGCTCAAATTCTATAAATAATAACAAAAAATCTCATTTTAATCATTTTTTTAAATATAAAATTACTGCTCAGTTAATCCTCAAATTAGTGAGCAGGTCAATTCCACACTGTGCTGATGATCAGTCAAGCAGAAAGAGATTTTCATGTTTTTTTAATTTTATCTGCAGAGGCAGAAACATTGTGAGGCGAGTTTGCATTTCGCAGTATTTTCCTTTTGAATTTGGTTTCTTGGTAGCAGGATTTGCTTCTTTTTTTCTGAGGCTGCAGCAGTTTTCTTTGCACGTTTTTGCATTCGTTTTTTTCTTTGTTGAAGTATTTTGGAGTTTGCTACGCGTTCGCATGTCGGCCACCATCATGTCCTTTAGTGTTGATGCTAAGCATGTCACAATGAGCAAGAAATCACTTAATTGTATGACAAATAAAAACAAGCTCAGTCATGTTTCTCTCTTTTTCTGCTAAAGACTGATGACATAATAAATCTTCAGTCTGGTGATTTGGTCTCAACTAGCCAGAGACTCCAGTATCCATGTTGTAAATTTGTTTATTTATTTTGTATATCTAAAATGTCTTACAATTACACAGTTAAAAGTTCATTAGAAATTAAAGTTTAGCTATCGCTAAGAGCGTGAACTTGCATTATTCCGCCATTACTATGATATCCTAACTTCTAGAACAATTTATTGTTGAGTAAAAATTTATCATCATGACAAGCCTTCTTCAAGTTTGACTTTAATTTTCTTTGAAAAAAAAACTGCAGACTATGAGCGATGGAGTCAGTAAGTGTTTTGGCAAATGATTCACAACCGAAGTACCTTCAACCCAAGAAAACAAGATATGAAGCAATCTACCAGATCTATTGATATACGGTCTCTGAGTGGAGATCAATCAGAACCGACAGAAGTGCCCTTGACTTAACCCTTCTGCACACAGATCATTTATTCCACTCTGCAACATTGGATCATATTTCACCTGCTCAACAGAAATAGTGACATGTCTGCAACTACAAAACTACTCAGAAGACATTTTGGATTTTAAAACAAGCAACATAAACTTTTACTCTCTAGATCTAAAGTTTCTACCTGCAGAGCAATGCCTGTGCAGAAAATGTTTGCTCTTGATGAACATGAAGCCTCTTCCAGAGATTTAGGCACAATCTACAGCCCTCCAACAAACTGCAGATTAAACATCGGATCTGAGTCTCTTTTCTTAGACATCATAAGCCTTTAAATAGCAGAGCGCCTGATTCAGAGCAGCACGCCCAGGGACTGAGCAGAGAACATGGCTACTGTCCAGGTATAATTAAGAGGAGGAGAACAGAAAGACTCCCATGCTGACGGGATATAAATCAGCATTACACATAACAGCAGGGACAGCGAGACAGACGGACGCTGTCTTCTGAGGCTTGTGTTGTTGTTTTCCTGCAGATATGAGGCATTTCAGGGAGCATCAGCAAAACACAATAAAAAAAAAAGTTTGTCATTTAACTTAAACTAGCTATAAAACATGGAAGCAAAAGCAAAGAACATATAACAGCAGCATGGCATCACCGTTTCTTTAAATTCCTGCTGGCAAACAACAAATATCTTCTTCTGATCTGGTGCAATCTGCATCTTCCTTAGCTTTTCTGTTCCGCTACATCTTTTTTCCTGGTGCTGAATTAAGAAAGTGCAGCAGAAGAAATTATTAATGAGGCTTTTAATAGAATTTTAGGTCCAGCTTCGTGTGACTCAGCACAGCAATTCATTTACATTTCATCCACATCTGGAGATAATCCCCAAGATTTACAGTGCACATTTGAGTGACTCAGGTTACAACTAAAAACTGAGTTTTAAGCTAAAAACTGCTTAAAACTTGTATGCACCTCCAAAAACACAAGACAAGGCTGAACTATGACCCAGAAAAGAAGCAAAATGTCAAGAAATTACTCAAATTTTACTGAAATTGGCATTTCTGTGGCGTTTTCTTTGCGTCACCAATCTGAACATGCAGTGAAACTGATGTGAGCACATAAATCTCTGTCAACAAACTTTGTTGTGTTGACTTTTTATCTCACACTCAATCACTTTTGCTCTCTGAAGTTTGGAACACCAAAAAAGCCAAAACGTTGTGAAATTTCCTGTCTTCTGCAAAGTAAGATGTAAACATGGAAGCAACTGCAAAGCGAATGTAAATAAAACACAACACTAGCAAATAACACAATATTTTCATCCAATCAGCGTATTCCTTAGAGGAAACACAACCAATCACAGCCAACAAGTTAAGTTGGACATTATGGTATATTTCTTATCATGACGTGAATTTTAAATGAATGATTTTTAAAACCCAACAAAACTGTCTGAATTGCTATTTTTTTGTCCAATCAGGTCAATAAATATCAATATTTTTGAAAACATGATTAATTGCAGGCTCTGTGTGCAGCTTAGTGAAATAAATCACATTTCTTTATGTGACTTGCATCCAAAAACAAATGGAAATGTTTTTCAAAAGCATTATTGGTGTTTTTTTATTTCTGCGTCCCTACAAAAGTATTAAATAGTTCTTATTATGACTTTTTTATCAAATAAAATTCTAAGTCCATATCACCCACCACTACCAGGAAGTGAAAGAAACTACAAAACCGTGGAATTAAAGACAAACACAACATAGTACTGTTGAATTTTGTAGCCTGATAACATAAAGTTGAGCATGTAAGGTAATATTTTTACATTTCATGATGTGATTTAAGCTGCACTGCTTTAGGCTCAAAATAACCAAAAAACATGCTGAATGTGATGGAAAATCTCTTGTAATAATCAAAGATTCATCACATTTCTGACAAATTCTCATCCTAAAGTGAAAAATATTAGCAAAGTCACACCATAAAACTGCAAGATGCTGTTTGCCTTCAAAAGGAAGGAAGAAATGAGCAACAGCAGCATCTTACTTGCTCTTTAACAGAAGCCAGGAGGTTGGTGGTGGTTGTTGTGGTGGCGCTGGACTCCGACTGGAGGCCTTGGCGGCTTGGACCTTCTCTGACCACCATGGGCCCTTCCCCTTCTGCGTCGCCTTCCTCCATATCCCCCACTGATCCGGCTGGCTGCTGCAGGCTCCCTCTCTGACCCTGCAGGACGATAATGATGTGGGTTAATGCACAGAAAATCACGGTAATCTAATTTTAGGGAAGCACTGTGTTTCAGTTGCAGAGATTAAGCTTTTGAGATGTTGCAATATCCCACAATTCATGATATTCCTGCAAAAAATTTCCCTCTTACAGTGTGATTGTGCTTTTTTTAATGCCTCAAGAGACACAAAGAGACAAAAGATGATTATTCTATTTTCCCGATGCATGTTTTTTCATCTCTAATCTTTAACCCGTCATTTGTGCATGCAGGTACAGTTTTCTCCACACATACAGGAGCTGCACACACACACGCACACACACACACACACGCATGCACACACACAGAGCGCTGCAGGCTGCATCCTTCCTCCTTCCTCTCTGTGTGTGTTTTACGTCTCAACACATACCAGTGCTCCCTATATGTATTAACAGGTGTGCATGCACGATGCATGGGGTTGCATGGATCTCCCGGTCAACCTTGCATCTCCCGGTCAACCTTGCATCCTCCATCATTCATTCACCATTCGGCAGCCAAGCACGAGGTCACACCGACCAAGAGCAGCGGAGCCCGTGCAGCCAGCAGAGCTGCTCGCCCTCCGCTGAGCGCGACTCACCGGCCAGATGTTGCTGTTAGAAGCAGGCCACAGCTGGCTCAGTCCGTTTCCATCCTCTCCTCCGTGACAGCTACTCCATTCCCCAACGCGCCGACGTCACAAACAAACAGACAGCCGCGTGCACGTCCTCGCGCTTGTCGTGCAATTATAATTTCCCCTTCTTTTTTTTTCTTCCAATCAATCCCCGCGTGCAAGGAGCAGAGGAGTTAAACGCGCGCGTCCATCCCTGAAGTCAAGGCTGCACCCAGCCACGAGCGCCGGTTGACAGCGGCGTGACGTCACCATGCGGCTATGGATTATTTCCGATCGACGGATCGATGAGGAGCCGCGCGTCGCTGTGGCCGCGGCAGGAGTCGTGCGGCAGCGCGGCGGCTTTTCGCGACGAGAGGAAGGATGCAGCCTGCAGGGACCAGCGTGTGTGTGTTTTACCGTGATACGTCTTCACACACACACGTACGCACGCACACGTACCAGTGCTGGTCACAGGGACATTTATGGGATTCCCAGTTAACAGCTCAGGTTATCAGGTTCATTATACGGAACTCCAATATTGTCAAGATTGCAATTTAATCCAACATTAGTTTAAAAGTAAATATATTTTATGGAAACAAAATTTATTATTTTTCTAATCAATTGTTTATACTATTATTTTATAAAATTGGTTGAATGCAAAAAACTACAATAAATTTAACACACTTTAAATTGAAATGGAGGGAAAAATAGACAGAATGGGTGGAGAGATGGATGCCTGACTTTTCAATACTCAATGGTCACATTTTTCATAATCTTTTTACTTTATTCTAATATTTCTTGTTTTGTTTATTGTTTTTTTTTATGAAAAAACAAAACAAAACACACAGCCAGTAGAAAACCGTTAGCTTAGTGGGTATTGCAAATAATTACTCAAATAAATGTGTTATAGATGAATATTCTAATTTTAATATTAACAGAAAAATCATCATTAACAAAAAATCTAACATCCATACATGTGTGATAAATCATAACATCCTTCACTTAATAAACTGACATCAATAACATTCTGATTTATTGAATGGGTCTCTAAGCAAATATTTTAAACTTTTATTAGACATCAAATATCCTAGAAGTGTGATAATAATTATTTTATTTTGGAGGAAAACTAGCTTCTAAGCTAATATTCCTGATGTCTCTCCTCCCCGGCCTGGATTTCAGGAACTGTTAGTTTTTAGTTAAATCTTTTTTTAATAAACGTGCAAACTGAGCCTGAAGTAAGTTTATATTAATAAAGGGAAAACACCACCACACATGAACATGCACATGCTCATTTATTGAAGTGACAATTAATACTATGAGCGCAAAGTTACACACTGAGAAGTGACGGGGAACTTCCCTTCATTTAAAACCTTCTTCCATCTCAGTTGGCATATTTGCATTTTTCCAAACCACCTTAAGATTTGACAAGAAAAAGCAAAAAGAAAAGATTTTAAGCCACTAAAGGTTCCTACTGCTTCTTTGTACAAAGAAAAACATGACAAAATATTGTTCACCTGAATATTTAACAGTTCATAAATAATAAACCCGTACTTCAAAAGGAAAGACCAGAACATTATACATTCTCCGTTCCTCATACTGCAAAGTAAAACCCAGTGTCAACATTTAACACTTACAGATGGAATATATTTAGTAGTAAAAGCTCAACATTTCTTGTAGGAATTTGTTTTTTGACTAATTAGATGGATTTATTCCATTTTTAAGGATCAGGATGAAACTCCCAGCTCAGTTATGCCTTAAATGACAACTATGAGGTGAGTCAAGGCATTTATAAAGTGAGACAGGGATGCATTACCTCCTGAAGTCCTGGCAGTCAAAGTAACGGGACAAAGAGAGGAGGAACAGCAGATCTCTATTGTCTGCTGCAGCACTTTGAGATCACTTTGCTCCACCTTCCAGGAACATGTCAGCCCGTTCCTAATGGCTTCGCTCACTCCTCTGCTCTGCTGATTTGAAGGATTCGTCTCAAAGAGAAGCAGAAACGACAAGGTGTCAAGATTTTTTTTAAGTCGCATAGCAATTTTAAACCTTTTAAGACAATTTTACTGTTGATTTAGAAATTTTTTAGACAAGGAAGGCAAAAAAAAGCTTCAAAATTCAAGTGTCTTTAGTTAAAATCCTACAGCACATCTACGTTTAGTTAGGGCTAAAGGGGAATGTTGTGATTTCACAGCGAAACAAGCTTGGCACTTTTGCACTAAAGCAGCTGAAGCCTGTTGCTTCAGCTTCGTCTGATTTATTCTTCTTATTTTGGCAGGTAAACACAGCAAATAGGCCATACAATTCTTAATTTAGGAAGCTTAAAAACAGAATAATTAGTACGATCAAAGGAAAGAAAGAAAAAAAAAACATCTGGCTCCTTTTCACCCAAACAAACCTCAGTGACTTTGGCCTTCAGTTTTCACTTCGTCATGTGATCGCAGCTGCAGGGTTGCCGTCTCAAAAGATGATCGTACGCGTCGCGTCGGCCAAAGAATGAAAAAAAAAAAACAACACGCCGAGCCGAGCAAATAATACTTCACGTCACTGGAACCACGAATCATCAGCACAAACACTTAAACGTCACCAAGTCGATCTTCATACGACCAGGGCGGGAAGCGAACAGCAACGAGGCTCAGAAGTAAAAACCAGCAGCTGTTTGATTCCAGCCCTGCTTTCAAATCGAGCACAGAAACAAAACTGAAAAAGTCATCAACACTGACTACGCTACTCAGAAACACACCTTTCTTTTTCTTCTTTCTATACAAATTAAAGCAATAAATAATAAAGACAGTACCTTTGCATAAACATGAGTACAAAACCTAACAGTCAGTGGATTTACAATAAACATGAGTAAAACATAAGAGGGTGCAGAGGTGTGTTCACACCCGTGTCGGGGGGGAGAAGAACCTTAAAGAACAGCCCCATTGTTCCTGCTAACCAGAACCCGAGCAAACTACTCCAGATCGTCCACATCCTCCGTCATGACGGTGCTGGTCTGTTCTGAAGTCACACCTGCAGATCGAACACAGAAAACAACAAATCTAAACCGTGCATGCAATGTCAGCAGTGTTAGCAACATGTTACTACTTTATTCAGGTGTTATTTTAACACATTTCCAGTGAAACTGATTGAAAGATTTATGGTCTAATATTTAGTGTTTGTCTTTTGCAGCTCTCTTGTCCTCAGATTCAGGTTAGATCATAAAATTACTGAAAATTTTCAGGCTATAAATCCGTTCATGTTCATGACCTTGAATTTTCTTTTGTTTTTTCTGCAAGTTTCATAATTGCAAAACTTCAGGATAAATGTTCACTGAAATAAGGAAACCTTAAGGTAAAAATAAAAAGGTCCTGAACTTTTCTGTCTTGTTCATTATCTCACGCTAAGCTGTAAGATTTCCATTTTTTTGTCACAAAGAGAAATGTATTATCTTGCGTCTAAATAAAGAGACCTTGAGCTTGTTTTGTCAAAACTATTTCATTATCTTCTAGAATAAATATAAGACTGAGCTTGATTTTTTTTGGCTCTAACAACTTTTAGTGGACAAATTTGATGTAAACAAATCAGTTTCTTCCCGACTTCAGATTTTATTTCTTGCTAAACTATAAAAATGTTTGTACTTGAAGTATCGTCGTCATTTCCAGTCTTCTTCTTCTCCTCCATGTAGCCATGACTGAGCAGCTTGGACATGCTGACTGGAGGAGCTTTCTTATCGTAGGATCTGAGGAGGAGAGAGCGTCACGTTATCAAACCTCTAAAACCTTCCAAATAAATCAAGTTTATGTCAGTAAATGCAAGAAAGGAACAAGTTCTTACATTCTCTTATACTTGTTGGTCATGGAAAGACCCTCCATAGGCAGAACTGTATCATCTGGAGACATCTGCAGATTGAAACATCAACCAGATTCAGTTATATAAGCAGCAACAGCCTGACTGACGGCTGCAGAACTACAGGTATTCACCAAGTTATCAAACAGGGAGAAATGAGTGGCTGGGGAAAAGTTCAGGGAAGCAGAGCAGAGGATGAAAAAAGGAGGAAAACTTAAGGAAAAAAAACTGCTATGCTGTTAAAAATAAAACCAACCAGAACATTTTAAAATGATTTGTTAGTTTTAACCCAGAAACTCAGCAACCTGCAAACATATTCACACTTCAGGAACTGTTTCACATTTTTACAAACTGCAACCACAAACCTGAATGTACTTCACTGTGATTTTATGCAGCACAGCAGAAGGTAAAGCTGAACTTTACTTACTAATAAAGTGACCTCTGAATGCACCACACTTTACAGTTTTTTCTTTGTAACTAAACCGTAAGTCACATTTCTTCCACATAAAGTCCCAGTAATGTGAAAAACTTCAAGTGTGTGTGAATACTTTTGCACATCACTGTAATCCAGTTTTTCAAGATTAGAACCAGCTGGAATATTGCAGAGAACTGCAATCACTCAGCTAACGTTTCCCCTCAAAATTCCCAGGAAACAAAAATCTCTCCGGATGATTAAATCCTGAAACAATTTCCAAATGCAGGGATGAAAAACGAAGGTGGAAAATGAAGGAAAGTTGTGATAAAAACTGAAATAATGGCAATAACATAAGATGGAGTGGCGTCTGCGTGGCATGGATGTTGGGGAGTGACTAGTTCGGTCCATTCACCTTCTCTTTACCATGGGAAAAACTATCAGTCTCTCTTTCCCAGGAGGAATTGTTATCAGTGCCAAAGGGAGCAGCCAGAGGCAGCCTGCCCGCCTTCATCTGGCTGTCAGGAGACGAGGCTTTGCTTCCGCTGAAAGCACAAAACCACGATGATATTCCATGTGAAAGTTCTGGGAACATTTTGCCTGCAGCCGCAACACTTGGGTGACAGACAGAACGATCACGAAGCATTCAGGAACATTTCATCTTCCTCTGCTCTGGACTCTTCCTACGAAAACGTTTACCTCTAAATCAGCGTCTGGCCCGTCTTACCTCTTTGACTCATCCCCTCCGAACCAGTTGGGCGGGTTGTAGGCTTTCTTCGGTGTGTCATCATCATCAACATCATGACTCAATAAGCCTGCAGCAGGAGGGAAACATTCTGTTGAAGCTAAAACTCTGCAGGCAGTAATGACTCTTATCTCCGCTCTGAAAACACCAGGAGGGATTTCAGTCACACCTAAAGCAGCTCGGTGGCCAAATAATTACTGCGACCTCTCAGAGTCGGGAATTGTTTCAAAACAATGAGCCAAAATGAGAATTCACATTTTATTGGCATTAATTTCCCATTTTCTACAACAAAAAGTTCTTATCCATCTTGAATAGGCCTGTCACAATAACAAATATTACTGGATGATAAATTGTTCCAGAAATTATTGCAATAAATCATAATATTGCTGATTTATAATATATTGATAATAATACAAGTTTTCAAAGACCAATAAACTTTAATTTTGATAGAACACTTGATATTTTCACTATTTAATTTTCAATTTCATTTCCAATCATTTGTTTTTATTAGTTGTAGTAATGTTTTTATTTACCATATTTTTTGTATTCATTTTGTAATTCTTTAAGACAATTTAAATACCAAAAACAAATAAAACAAAATTAAATTCACACTCAACCAAAACATAAATACAATTCATTATGATGTCTCTGTAAACAAAATTAATCTTCAAAAAATATTAGACAGAATGAAAACTATTAAGCTCTTTTTAATTTTTTATGCAATTAATCAATTCCTTATTTCAATAGGCTTAATCATAAAGTTAAAATAATTCCTAAATGTGAACGCACAGAGGCAAACAAACGGTTACTAAACCAAATAGTGAAAGACCTTCTTTAAGATCAGCTTGGGTCATTGTCAGTAACTCTTGAACTGATCAGTAATTTTAAATTTGTGGTTCACCTTTGTGTCCTCCCTGCTTTGCCAGCTTGACGTAGTCCGAGTCGGTCTCAAATATTCCCACTCGCCGCCCGCTGACCCTCTCCACCGCCGCGCTCTCGGTGGCGGTCTGGCACAGGCCGGGAATCTGGGAGGTGGGTCCGGTGACGCCACTGTTCGCAGCTCCAGGCTTTATGCCTACAGAAAAATACAAGCATGACCATCATACAGCTGAAAAATAGTGGGTCTCGGATGAAAATAGTTTAATTTCTCTCCTGGTTTTATTGCTACAAATACGTACAAATGCTGTGATGAAATAAAAGAAAATAGTTTGCGAACTTTAACCAGTCTTACCTCCAGGTTTGGTCCTTCGATGGTTGGGTACAGCAGCACTCATTTTAGCTGACGACAAAAGAAAATCTGCAAACTAAATACCAACATTTTAAATTCACAACTGCCACAAGCTAGGGCAGAAAATAGAGCAAAAACAAACTATAAAACACTTTTTAATTAAAGGAATGAGTGTCTGTAGAGTTTAAATAAATCAATAAGAAAATGATTAAAACTGATTTATTTATTTTTTTATTTTACTACTTCAGCTTCCTACTGTCCCCACATGGGGGCAGTATAAATTAAGATGTCAGTTACAATTGAGAAACAGAAGATGCTTTCACTTGGACTAAACTTCAAATAGAAAGTTATGATGCATGGTTCCACAAGGTTTCTAAAAAAGGTTAGAGGTATTACACAGTAGCTGAGATGAGTTATCTGTCTATTTTTTAATAGAAATGCAGAGATTCATGAGTTATAAATGAAAGAAACATTGACGAATCCACAAATCGATGGGTGGAAATATAAATTGGCCAGATTGATGCAGATAAATATGTGCAATAGATGCGTAGTAGAATCATAGATAAACGTAGGCATGGATGAACAAAATGATTCAAATGATTGGTTGAATGAGTAATAGATTATGATTAGATGGATGGATGAATGGATAAAGAAATTGAAGCAGATGGATGGATGACAACATGCATGCAAAAGGATAAACAGATGGATGCAGATGGGTGGATGGATGCATGGAGATAAAATGTAAAATCTGACCATGGTGAGTAAATGTAAATGAGCTGATAGCGCTCAAGATTCATTCATTTACAACCGTCGGTTTTATTTCCATAGTTTATATACATAGAAGTACATAAACGTTTTATGTACGTTACATAACGTACATAAAACGTTTATTTTTGCCGCAACATAATGTGCATCATCCGGCTCAGGTTTCACCGCTAATGTGGGCAGTAAATTACTGAGATAAGAGGCTAACAAAGCGATGCTAACCGAGTTAGCCGCCTAGTTTCACCGCTATCTCCCTATTTTTTACAATGAAACTGTGACGCCTTTTTAATAAAGTGCAAACAAATAAATAAGAAAATATAAATATTTCTTACTCTAATTTTGCTGTGTGCTTTTTTGTATGAGGTGAGTTGGGTTGCTGCGAGCAAAAGCCGATAGCTTCTTCTTTCCTCCTCACAGAGCTAACAGCTTCCTGTGGCACCTGCTGCTCAGTTCCTGTTCATAAATCAAAGATCGTCTATTTAAAACAATGCCCTACGCTGTGTGAGTTTTTTTTTCCGAATCGACTGTACGTTTATGAAGCGTGATAATGCAGGAAGAGTGAGAACTCTGTTACGCAATCTCTGTTGAATACATGGATAGACGATCTTTGTTCTGCGGTCAAATAAAGCTTAGGAAAAAAAATCTAATTTATAGTTCAAAAATGCTTTTTTTGATCCCAATATTGACGTGTCTAGAATGTCTTCAAGAGTAATTAAATATTTCTTTAGCTTAGCATCAAATCTGGAGTTTTGATAGTAAATTTTGGCAGCCATATTGTCTTGCAATCTTTTTTACTATGATCATGGAAGGATACCTGCTGCTTATTGACCAAAAATGTAAGCAAACTAGTTCAAGGCACAACTAATAACCAACAAACTTATTGTTTTGGTGGTATTTAGCTAAACATTGTGGTCCAATAAGAAACTCATCCTGAGAAAAGATCCACTTACAAAAAAACAAGTAAGGAACAGACTCAGGTTATTCAGACTTTTCAAACGTATACATAAATAAATAGCTGAGATGAGATTTCTCTTGGAGTACTTAAGGCTTTTTATTTAATTTGAAATATTTAGTTTATTTAGATAACACTACAAGGCTACAGGAAATTAAAACAAAACGTATTGGAAAAAACCGTTAGCATTTAAAATAGATGTCATAATGATTAAAACATTCACTGCTTGAAAAAATAAAAAGAACATTAAGAATGTACATTAACCTAAACACGAAACAAAACTTTGTTTGACTGACAAATAATTGAAAATAATAGACTTTTAATTCTACTGACATCCAGGAATATCTACAGATGAAACATCCAAAATTATTAGAAAGAGAAGAATTAGTAGGAAAACCTGTACGACATTGCTATTTCATAAAAATGCTTAAATGCTGTTATACATAGAAGAAATTAGGCAACAAAGGTTTTCACTTCAAACTGATGTTAATATAGTTTTTTATTTGATCTTTAAGACAAACTTTTGTTAAAACTGGTTCCAGTTTCTCATTTAAAACCAAAGAATGATATTATGCTGGTTAATATTCATTAAACTGGAAAATAATCGTCATAGTTTGAATATGCTGCCGAGTTGACCCGATTGGCCGTCAAACTGGTTTGACTCCTTGGTGCTGGAGACCCCTCAGAGGTCTTTCCCACAGTCAGGACAGAGGATGTCATTTTTGAACGTCAGGAAGCCTCGACCAACCATCGACGCGCTGCATTTTTGGCAGTTGAAGCAGTCGTTGTGCCACTGTCGATCCTCAAATGAGATGTACTTGCTTCCCCCGAGACCTGAGGTAAAAACAGCAGAGGAGTCCCATGATTTTTTTTAATGCAATAACTCTGGAATTGATGGTGATTGGAAACACCAGAACCGAAGTTAAGCATATCATCTTGAGAATGTTGAGTTTAGATTGAAGGTGCTGCTTACATTGTTAAAATCAAACCAATTACAGTTCAAAACTGGTTTTGGTGAATCTTTTCAGCTTGATTTCCAAACTACAGAAACTGAAGCAAACTTAAAATTTCTGCTGTGACTTAAAAGTTTTTTTCAAAACCTAAAATAGTATTTGAAGAGTTGTGCAAGGTCATTTTACCACTGATTGGGTTGGTGCAGTAGGCACATTTCTTTGCAAACATGTTGCAGAAACACTCGAGGCAGTAGGTGGAGTCGTCTCGAGAGGTGAATCTCTGCCCAGCCAGCTGCAATTTGCATCCAGCACAAACAAAGCATTCCTTATGCCACGGCTGGTCATGGTAGCTCACTCCTCCAGTCGTAATGGGCTAAAAGATCGAAAGCAAACAAAGCAAAACAAACAAATGACAAATTGTTTTCAAAAATTCTAGTTTGACCATTGAAATTTTTGATTTTATGACAAAAACACTGCAGCTATGGGAATATATTTTGGTTATGACACACTTCATTCAGGAACAAAAGTGAAAATAAAAACACATCAATCAGCTGCGGAATTGTTGCCATTAAATAATATTATAATAAAAACAAAAAACAAGTTATAGTTCAATATATTTTAAAATAAAGCAAAAATGTCATTTTTTTAATTATCTTGAAGGTAAAGTCTAACTCACAAGAAGTTAATTAGCCTAACTGCAATGAAAGCTTAAAATGTCATAAAACTAATTAGCCAGGTTTGAGATGAAGCAAAAAGCTACTATCATAAACTTAAATACCTTAAATGGAATTAAAAATCAAATCTAACTAAAAAAAAGCTAATAGCTAACTATTATAAAACTATTAGTAAATAAAGCTAAAGGCTAACTGAAGGCTAATGATCCAAAAGATAAAGCATAATTTGTATTAAAGATAAAAGTTAATTATTAGAAATTTTATTTGCCAAACTGGGATTAAAGATAACAGTGAGCATTCATAAAACTCATGAGTCTAAATTAATTGTTTTTCAATTCAATTCAATTTTCAACACTAAAAATTAACCACTAAACTTACTGAATGAGAAATTAACAAAGCGAGTAGCTGACTTGTTTTTAGAGTCTGAAAGAGATCAAATGCTTATATTGGTTTACTAATAAAATTAATCATTTAAAATCTGTTATAGTTCATGTTAAAACACATTATGTCATGTAACTACAGATATTTTCTGAATTAGTAGATTTAAGCATTTTTCTGAATCACTCTGACATGACACTTTGCAGCCATCTTGTTGCTGACTTTCTCAAGTGAAACAGATGATTGCCTCTTGCGCCACGACTCCTGCCTGCCTGACCATCTGTTTGTTGCTCATATTTGTTATGTATTATACATGTGAGTCTTTGTAGCACCAACTTTCAGCTCCTCAAAAAAAACCTGTATGACCATATATTTGCAGAACATTGTAACTGGTTTAATAGCGGAAATCGTAATGGAGCATTGTGAGGATGTTTACCTTCTTGCAGTGGACACACTGCAGGGCAAACAGTTTCTCATAGCAGGCCAGACAGTAGTTGTTCCCGTCCTTCTTGACAAAGCTCTTGGTGCCAATAGTCTGCTGGCAGAATTTGCAGATGAAACAATTCTCATGCCAACTGTTCCCCTTATGCTCCATCTTCTTGGTGCCTGGAATCAGAATATTGAATAGCATAAATCTTTGATTTTATATTAATGCTCTTTCATACTAAATTAGTGATGTCAAAACTTTTTCCCATCAGGGACAAAATGGTTAAGCTGTGGAGGCACAGAAAAGTATTTTAAAACAAACCCTTTATGTCTTTTGTATCAATAATAAACTAAGAAATTTAAATTATATCAAAATAAAATCTATATTTTTATTTAAAAAACTGGATCTGTAAATCAGTGTAGAAACATTAAAAGAGCCTCCACAGTTTCAGAATGGTTGGGGGGTTGATTATTTTTTATTTGGAAAACAAGAATTGCTTTTAAGTAAAATTAAGTCAATAACTTTGGTTCTGGTTACTCCAAAATTAAGACAGATGCAAAAACTTTGTAAATAAATGCAAATTTATTTTTCTGCAACTAAATTTAAAAAAATATATATCTATTTAAAAAACAATGACCTTAAAAATACAAACGTTTCCATCTCCATCAAACAACTATGTTTGCAGACCAGTTTGTCAATTATACACTTGAGATCTGGGGGCTAACTAAAATCCTTCAGAGGCCCGCAAACGGTCCCTGGGCCGCACTTTGGACACCCGTGCACAAAACTATTTGAGTAACAGTATCAGGAATGTTTTTTGTACCTGGCATGATGGTCTTCAGGCAGGCATGGCACTTGGAGGAATACTCAATGGAGTAGCAGTCGACGCACATCAGCAGGTTGTTTTTGGTGGCAAACGGTTTGTCGACCAGAGAGCGACTGCAGTTGTTGCAGAGGAAGCATTCGCTGTGCCAGTGACGGTCCTTGAAGGACAGATCCTTCAAAAGAAAGTCAAGAAGTTCACACTTTTTATTTTGAGCTAAATATTCCATCAGCGACAAATTTAAATAGATATTTTAAAAGAATGAAAGTTACCACTCGTTTAGTGTTAGCACTGCAGCAGAGCTGGTTGCAGAAATTTTGAAAAATGTCCAGAAACAAAAATGAGGCAGATATAATCAACTCTCAGTTTGCTGTTTTATACAACCCACAGTTGCAAATACAATATTTTTAATTGTATAAATGCTAGCAGGAATACTATATTATATTCAGTATTTTGTATTTTTTCATTTGAAGACAATAGAATAGCTGAAACTGAATCTCAGCTTGTTTTTCCAATTTACACACCAGCTTTTGTTAGCATTGCAGCACAGCTGGCTGCTACAGGAAGTGAGAAAACAACCAGTTTACAACACTTTGTCTGTGAACCCATATCTGATGTAGAGTAACAATGAAATAGAAAGTAGCACAGCTGAAACTAAATCTGCACTTATTTTCCTTATTTATGTTCGAGCTAGCTAATAGTCTTTGTTTTCATTTGTCCTTCAGAAGAAATTCACACTTTATGTATGTATTTTAACCTTAAAAAATTAAAATAATGGCAAAATATTTTAATTCAAGATTAACTGTGGTTCTTCATTTAAACAAAACCAAGTAAAGAAGTCACAGAAGTTGAAGAGCAACAAAACGTTGGCTCTCCCTTGGAGTTAAAACAAAAAAAAACAAAAACATGGATGTATCACCTTGCTGGTGCAGCTAATGATCTTCTTGCACATTTCACAGTTGCTGGAGAAAAGTGCCTCATAGCACTTGATGCAGTAAGGATATTCCTCTCTCAGGATGTACTTCTGTCCATACAAAGAGTCCTTGCAATCTGTGCAGTCATAGCGCTCAGACATTTTGACTCAGATCTCCTCGCGGAGTCTTCTCTGCAAAATAAAATAAAATTAGTTTAAAAGACAACGGTCGTAATTACATAACCTCACAGAATGATTTACAACGTAGAATATGAAGATCAGATTGAGTTCCTAGAATCCTAGAGATTTGTAGTTTTTCAAAGAAAAACTTGTATGCCCTCAAGGTCATGTGGTCATAAAATCAATTAATTACATTAACCTGCACCAGACCCAGTCCTCAAAGCATTTAAGCCTCAATGACCATTTAATTAAATACTACATTCAACAAATTAGCAGAGAAATACCACAAACTCTAGCGTAAATTCCACTATATTAATGGAAATTATATTATATGGTCATATGATGATTATATGATTGCAATCCTTCAATCCGTGATTGAAGTATTGTAAATACACTGGTAAATTAATACCTGCAATACTTAATACTTGCAATTAGCAGTCGTTTTAAACTAAATTTAATGTCTCAATATATTACAGTTGAGCCAAATTGCTCCTTATCCCATATTTGGGATCAAGATACAACCATCAGTTCTTACAAACCAGTTGTGCTTTGCAGTGTTTATTTCCACCTTTTCAGTATGTATTAATTGTACAGTGGAGCGTAACTCCAAATTATTAGAAGAATATTTACCTATTCAAAGACTTTTTCATAGAGCACACCTAAAATATTCAATTTCATAAATTGGCAGGTGGTTTTACCTCCAACCCCAGTGAATAGAGTATATTTGTGTCAATCTGAGAACTCTGAAACAAATCCAAATATCTTTGGTTTCTAAGTTTCTGAAAAGCAAACACAGAATCCTTTAAGAAGTCTTTCTCCTCTATCTGACACCAGTAACTTCTCTGAAACCAGCTTAATCATCCATATCGATATAAAATACCTCTATTTCTATAGAAACTCAGTGGTAGACTTCTATAAACCAGATGTACTCCATTTGTTTTGCAGTGAACACCATCCTCTCGTCTTGTCCTTATTGTCATCCTTTTTAAATCCCTGCGACTTGTGGCTCTGCTAATTGTACAAACTTCAACAAAACCAATAAATAAACACCAACAGTGTTGAAAAAGTTACCATTTTTCCCCACAAAGAAAATAAATTAAAAGAAACCATGAAGGTCTTACCTGCCCGGCTTGGTTGCCGACTGAGACCAGAGGTGTCTACTGTACAGAGTACTTGGTGTTTCTTATTAAATTAGTCCAAATCGAGACCCGTGACACGGCAGGAGGGTGGAGACCGGTGGCCTGAGTGGAGGAGGCAGGCTGGTTTACATTCAGCCTGTATAAAAATCACAGCAAACTGATTACATTTTTATAACAGAAGAACAAAAACACATTTTAGTGATGATAAAGTGGTGAAAGTTTAACTCTACCTGTTCTGGACACCAATATTTACTACATTCCTACATTGAAAGCACTGTTTTTTTATTTCTTAAATGTTAAACACCATTATAACACATCCATATATTAGCATCTGAAGTATTATCTGAACATTTTTCCTGGCAGAATTTTACTTAAAAGCCACATTAAACACATTTTCAGTGAAGTTTAGTCTGCTTTCTTATTACAAAACTAGTTCTGATTGACTAAATATTAATTTTCAGATGAAAGGGGATTAGTTTAGAAGTTCAGGAACAATCCCTTAACAACTGGTCAAAACTAAAACATGAGAGTGACCAACAGTTTTGCATTAAATTAGGATGTGTGTTTTATTTCCAGGGAAATTGGTGTATTACATAAAGAGGAAGGATGAATGAAGGATTTTTCAACGTAAAACCAACAGCTGATGTTAATACTTTGACATGATTTAAGGTTCTGATCAGAAAATTGTTAAAAATAAACATCAAAACTGATTTCAAATTGGATTAAATAATCTAGGATCAAGCCTTTATCGTGATCACAAAGCAAATAAATTTAACCACCTGAACTGAATTAACTTCTGCCAAGATGAGGAGTTAAATATCCTGAATAATTCTACTTCATATTTACATATAATAGTACATAAATGAAGTAAAATTTGTTGAGACATTTAATTAAATATTAGTAGAGTCGCATGTACGTATTTGAGGGCATATGGATTGAAAAAAATCCACAAAAAATTAAAAATTAAGCACCAAATTTGTGTTTTTCAACATCATTTTAGTTGTGTGTTGCATAATCATGACACAATTGGATAAAGATCAACAGCCCAAAATGATTACGCCATAATGAGTGGAAGTAAACGCCTCATCTACAATGTATTTTTTAAACCAGAACTGACAACCACATGGATTGTTAATGTAATTAACTTGTAAGCATATGACTGGGAGCTGTGAATATCTTTCCTCAAACCTGTCAGTTCCACATCAAATTCTTATGAATAAAACTTTCTTCACATCACAAGACGATCGAAGCCTTGAAGGGTTGATTGTTGCCTGCTTGGCCTGCTGTGAACCTGGCACTTTGTGGTAAGAAGGTTCAGTTTAATCCAAATCTAATAAAGGTGACAGTTTAACATAATTACGTAGCGTCGCAGAGTTTCCAGCAGACAAAATTTCTCATATTTTTCACACACGGACAAAAGATATCCTTTATATCTGTTTAAATTTAACTTGATATATCTTACATAAACAGTTACAACAAATTTATTCAGCTACATTTTGGTTTTGAGGAACAAATTAAACGTATTTTTCCCAAATTATCCACTTCTGCATTCAGTATTCACTTCCTTAACGTCGTTTAGACTTAGACCATCTAATTTAACCCATGTGAGGAATCTGTTTTGATATATCATGGCTGACACATTAAATAATGAAATAACACCAGATAAACCAAACAAAAGAAGAAGAGTAAACAATAAATAAGATAAAAGTAGAATGAGATTTACCCTGTGAAAGGGCCTATTGTTCTGGAGGTCAACTGATTCGCATTACCCAGGTAAACCTCTGATGTGGTGAGAACATACTGATCCAAAACTAATCACAAGGTTTAAATATAAATATAGTTAAACGTAAACAAAGGCATAAACTTTGTAACGCTTTAAAATATTATACATCCCTCAAATAAGCTTAGCTAATGTAGCTTCTATCTGCTGGCGAAGGAGGACATGCAGCCTCCCAAGATGGCAGTTCTTGTGGGAACTATACATTAGGATCTTCATCAGAGGACTTCTCTTTCAATTACTGCAAAAAATCTGATTTAAATTTGGGTGAATTTTTGTAGCTACATGTGACAAACATCAGCAGCTAATTGAAAACAATTTGGGAAGAGGCTGTAACAAACCAACCAAATTGTGGAAAATGCGAATACTTTCCAGATAAACTGTATTTGCTGATGCTGGTATGAAATTAGTTTTTTTTTCTGTCCAAGTTCATTTTTATTTCCACATTACAAGAAAACAGAAGCAGGTCATACATCTGAGCTCAGTTTGAAAAGTTCATAATTAGGACTTTAGTCAAATTATCAATCAGATGTTTCATTTAAACTCCTTCCTGTTCCTGATTTTCCATAGACAAACAAGCCAGACTCTGTATTCTGCAGACTAAATGACAGGAATGTGTATCATGGTGTCAGACAGGAAAGAAGATCATAAATCTTAAAGTTTAATTATTAAATTAGCAACAAAAAACTATTTGCTTTTCGACTTAATTTGACTGCTGAAACCTCCTCTGACATTTAGGAGAGACACAACATAATTATCTGTACCTAACCTCCAAAACAACACATTATGTGGTTCCTTGAGAAGAAACAAAAAAGCTGCTAATATTTCTGGGTAACATTAGGTATCAAACCTGTGGAAAAACATTACATGTTTTCAGTTTTAATAAATCAACTTAAAATCACATTATTTCCACACTCCTCCAGCAGTAACTGGAACACACTTTATAGCAAAGTCTGTTGAACAACTTTACTTATCACTTGACTTTTTTAAAGTCATGTTTTTCAAATTACTTTATTGCTGAATCTGTCTACTTCCTTTCTTCGACTTAATGTTAATTTTGAAGTCATGATTCCATTTAGAGAAAAATGAGCATTAAATAATCAAGAGCCATTTTTATTTTGCTATTTTTAACCTCTCTGATTGTTTTATGTGTGTACATGATGCCAGTATTGGGTAAAATAAAAATACAATATATATTTATGCTCCTTTGGAGAAATGGTTCTTCCTCTTTAAGTGGCATTTCAGCCCATGAAAGTACAAGAAACATGTTTATAATTGATTAAAGTTTCAGCAGTTTTAATGTATTTAGATGCTGAATAAGTTTTAAAAACATAAGCACTTTCTGAGATTGAATAATGAGAAATATTTTTGTAATCCTAAATGTACAAAAACAGGAATAATTTAGTTGGATTTCATTTTTGACAAGGACAAAAAAAAAATACAAAATGTGTGCTTATACAGAAAATGCATTAATCTGGTTTCAACTGAAAGTAGTTTAACAAAAATGAAACAGAAAACAAAGTAACCTGATGTTAACTTCTGCTAAATGTTTAGAACTTTTTTACAGCCACAGGTAATTAGAACTATTTGCTTTGTGAATTAGATACTGAACTGGGCCAAATGTGTAACAGTGTTAAGAAGTCTCTGTCAGTGGTTTCTTTCTTTTCCTTTTTATTCACCTCTGTCCTCAATAAATCCAAAGCTGTTTCAAATATTGTTTCATGCATAATTAAACCTTTTAAATGCAAGAAAAAATGGAAAGGAATGGGAAAAAATATTCCTGTTTAATTTAATATTTGTGTTTTATGTTTAGCTACTCGACTTAATATTAAGTTTTTCTATTTCCTTTCCTTTAGGGTAAACCATTGCTGGAAGGAAGCCAGGCGAAGCGCTTACATAATTAGTTTTACCATCTGCTTCCTAAGAGTCTAACAGGGGAATTCTGGGAAGTTTTATGAACTGTGGCCTGATCTGATTAGCCTCTCCAGGCCCATTCACACACAGGGAAGTCTAGTTAAAGACCATATGTTGTTCATTTAGTTTTCAAGTCAAGACTGTAACTCTACAATCACTTTTATTAGCTGCTGCATTTCTGATGTAAACTAGTTTGATCAAAAAGGACTCACTGTTCATCATATGATAATAACTAAATTAGGTTAAATAATAAATATAAAGTTTTGTAAATAGTATTGCTGTTGTGCATCTACTTATTTTTCTGTTTATTGTCTCTGTATACCTTCTTGAATGCTTATAGTTGTATGAAGTCTCCTATTATTTAATTTTTAGATGTTGTTTTTGAATAATATGATGTTTTTAATGATAATTTTAAAAGTTCTTCGTTAAAACCTTTTGTTCATTTTTGGGGTCTGGGAGGGATTTTATATATTTCTAATGTTGTGAATCTCTCAGTATATGTTTGCTGATTCTGGTCAGCAAATATCTGTAAAAGCCTAAATAAATTCACATGGAAATATTAGTTTAGAAAAAGTACAACAAAAATAAAAGGAGGAAATAGTAGGTAAAAACTAATACTTACCTTGGCTTTAAAACAATTTGGGATTTTTAAATCTTTGTTTTTAAAAGTTTTGTACAAAAACACAAAGTGCATGTAATAGGATAATCAAATGCCAGGAGAAACAGGGATCATGTGCTTCTTGATCTTTCTTATTAGTCCTGAAAGTTTCCTGGAACTTCCTCTTTCATGGTCTCGAACAAATCCTCCAGTTTTACCTCGATCATCATTAAGTTTCAAAAAGTCACAAGAATAAAAACTGATTACTACTGAGTCAATTCCTGCCCCCTAGTGCTTGAAACGCACTAAATTATAGATACACACACGTTTGGAAAGTCTTTCGAAGCCTTTTCCAAACAACTACAAATCCTAAGATAATCTGTTTAGAGAGTGATAAGTATTTATAACTTTTTAAATTACATCACCACTTTGTTAAGTGCTGTGAAAATATTTAATTTACTTATTTTCAAGGAAAACTTGGATAAATTGAGTGTTAATCCTTTGGTGAGCTGCAATATCATTCCACGTCTATTGGTGGCGCTGCTGCATTGTTTTGCTTACTGTACCCAAGAAGAAGAAGTTGAAAACAGGAAGTATTTGTAAACAAATACGTGTTGGATATTAAACGGGGCTAAGTAGTATTATCAGACATTTTTTTCATCTTTTTGTTGATGAAATGAGATACATATAGCAGCTAGTTGGAGATGGGGGACAACCGGCGGGAGGATGTCGGAGGAGGAAACTCGGACTGGATGTCCCGTCTCCCGGAGGAGCTTCTGGACGTCCCGCTTTGGAACCTGGCTATTCCAGGTAACACCTGAACTGCTCAGGAAACACCCAAGCGTTGTTTTAAATGTTAATACGAACCTTCTGTGTGTAACAGGGAGTCATGACAGCATGTCCTTCTGCCTGGACATGTCGTCCCCGGTGCTCAGATCGGAACCCTGGCTTCTCCGGCTGACAGATCGACTCTTCCCCTGCTTGATCCGACCCTGTATTTACCGCTGGTCCACCACACAGGTACCGGGCTCTGATGTAAATCTTTGTTTCATGTCTTTTACTGGTCATCTTTATGATATTTGTTCTTGCAGCAATCTGTCCTCTGGTGTCAGTGTGAGCTCGGTATTCGCTACTTGGACCTGCGGATCGCCAAGAAGCCAGCAGGGGGCAGCAGTTTGTTCTTCGCCCACGGGATCTACACGCTGATGAGCGTCAAGGTGTGTGAAGGAGACAGAAGCAGAGAAGCACTACTTCAACATATTTTTACTCAAGTATAAGTAAAGAGAAACTATCCAAGAAATAACTCAAGCGTAAACAATATTAAAATGCAAGTACTGAGTCACCGATTGTAACTAAAATAATTTGGTATTTAAAAATTACATAATCAGACAGACCAATCTGTAAAGTTAAATGGAGATTTTGGTATTTTAAGGACCAAAATAATAATTTATAGAAAGTAATGAGAAATAACAAAATCAAGCAAAAGAAAACCTTTCTAAATGACTAATTAAAAAAAAAACTCCTGGTGTGTGTTGCCGTTTGGTGAATTTTTGGTTACTCATGTAAATGTAATTGAGTAACTATTACAACCCACCTCTGGACAGAAGAAAAGCTGAATTTTTTATTCGGGGTTTATGTGTGTCTGTGTGTGTAGGAGGCTCTGGAGGAGTTGGCATCGTGGCTAGATGCTCATCCCAAAGAGGTCATCATCATCTCCTGCTCTCACTTTGAGTCTCTGACTGATGAAGATCACGTCCTGCTGGTGGACTTCATCCTCTCACTCTTCAGCGAGAAACTCTGTTTGTCCCAGGTTAAGAATCAAAGCATTTCCTGAAGACACACGTTATCTGTGAACTTTATGTGCATGTGCTATGTGTGCAGGACACTCCCACGTTGCGGTCCTGTTGGTCTGAAGGTCAGCAGGTCATTCTCTCCTATGATGACCTGCAGATGGAGTGTCAGCACCGCCAGCTGTGGCCAAAGATTCCCTACTGGTGAATTTAACACACATATAGAAGCCATATTTTTCTCCACAAAAAACTCACAATCTGGCCTCATGGGAGCGCTGTGTCTGCAGGTACGCTGACAGTCCAGATCCAAAGGAAGTGATCACTTATCTGGAGAAAAAGAAACGCCAAGGAAGACCAGGTACTTCAGTTATAAACCTGTAAAATAAGTTGAGTTACATTAAGGAATGTTTCTGCAACATTCTGCATGTGTCAGTAATCAGTATCTTACCTGGAGTAAACGGAGAATCAGGAAGGAAAGTGGACTGGAAACACAAGATTTAAAGTGTCTGGTGTTTCCAGGTAGTTTTTACGTCACCGGTCTGAACCTGACTGAAGACACTCGCTACGTCCTCCTCCACCCCCTGCAGAACCTGAGGATGATGACGATGGAGGCGCTCTCGCCGTTGCTCCGTTGGACCGCAGAGCAGCGCCCCGGCCCGGGAATGGGTGGAGTCAACATCGTGGGCTGCGACTTCGTAGGCTTCAGTCGGTTCTGTTCGATCGTGATCGACCTGAACTTCAAGTTGCTAAAAGCTGCAGCCAGTTCCCAGTTACCGCTGGGATGAACTGCTTGTACTGGTTCCCTTGGTTTAGTTGGGAACATTCACACTCACCGTTACAGAAAAAACATTTGGAAACATTTGGAGGATGTTACCACAATCTCCACACTGTTGTGTACAATCTCAACCGCAATTAATTTGCTCCTCATGTTTATTATCAACTAATGCCTCTTAACCTTTTCTTCAATGATTATTGATGAAATTTCCATCAGTTTAACAGCAAACTGTTCCACTTTTAAACACATTTCTTTTTCTGTATATATGTGTAAAAAATGTAAATCTGTTTTCTTCTGTTAAATCAAATATTTTTGTACGACTGAATGAACTCAATACAGTTGGTTGGGCTCAAATAAATCTGTTTAAAGGTCTTTTTTATTTTAGTTTTAGTTACTTTTATAAATCTTTCATCATCTTCTCATTACTTATTAGTCATTATCTATGTGTCAATACACAAACCAGACATATCTGCTAAATTACCAAGTACCAGAGCATTGGAAAATGTCTAAATTATTTGACTTTCTGAATAAATCATGACCAAACCCATTTTATATCAAATAAAATTGCTTCCATTATGTCTTCAACTCTCGCTGAGCAAATTTGTAACCACAGACGAACAATTGAGGACAATATTTTTTTTCTTCTTAGGAGGAGCTGAACTTCCCAAAGTAATTTTAAAAAATGCACCATCACATTTTCCCACACAAGTTTATTCAACCATGACATCTCTTTCCAGGATGACAGAGAAGCAATCTCCAGCTGAAGTTATAATAAAAACAGTGCACAGCAGGTTAATGGCTGAATCCTTACATATCTGTTCATACAATTTATATCTATGCTCTCAAACTTTGAAAGCAAATCACATCACATGTTAGAGTCTGAGTAAAAAAGCAGTTGATTTAAAAAAAACCTAATAAATATCCCTTTGTTATTGATATAAAATATAGTTTTAAAATATTCTCCATCTTGTAGCAAAGTGATAAATTGATAATACTCATGTGCCTTGGGCTGCAGTCAGTGTACAGAAGTGAAAAATATACATTTCACAGAGAAGAATCATCTAATCTTTGGTTTGTTCAGTCACTTGGATTTACTGGATTTAAACACCTACTCACCTATTTTTCTGTGGAATCTGATTCCAAGTTATTTGCATGTTTTTGGCTGAACATATCTAAAAACATAAAAAAAGGCAGCAGGGGAAGCTGAAATGCCAAAAAATAATGCTACCATTGGCTGGGGTTTGCAAGGCAGCCAATACATATTTTCTTTGCAGCTGATTGGCTGAACAACCGAAAGCAGAGATAAAATAGACTGTAGATGTTTCCACTCTGCATAATAATACATATTGAAGAATATTATTTGTCAGAACTATTAAAACAATCAGCTATAAGCAACAGTTTTCAGCGGGCGGCTATAGTCCCTAAGTCCAGATAAAAATGTGTTACAGTAGCATCATCACTTCCTGGAGAAATTGAAAAATTCAACTTTTAATTTGAAAGCCCATTCTTCTAAGCCACTCTCCAACGTGGAAAAGACAAGTGAACATAGCACTGAAGCAAAGCAGATGTCTTAGTCTTCATATGGCAAAAACCGTAACTGTTTCTCCTCCAAACAACCAGGAGTTTCTGGCAACTTGTTCATCTTTGCACATCATTACTGTAATGTCTCAATTATGAAGGTTATCCTAACAGTTCTCAGGCCTTTGAACTGTAACTGGGTCAGAAAACAACCATTATTGTTCAGAGTGGTTCCTCTGGTACGATCAGCTCTCAAGTCATGCTGACCTAACAGAAATTACTGGACAGTTTTTGGTGTGAAAATTGTTTCAAACAAAAACTTGGACAAGTGTCTTTCTGGGTGTTGGATATTCAGAAAGAGTACTCTATATTCAGAAAGGGTACTGTAATTAGGTGTTTGCCATTTGGGAAGTTTAATTATCCAATCCAAATTGATTTTGTGGATGTGGAGAATATTTACGACCTTGTTTGCCAATTCTTTTTGTTGGCGTATCCAAGAGTTGTGATCGCTGTTCGCATTGTTGGCACAAAGTTGAGCTTCCTGGGAAAAAGCACATCTATCTTCACTAAGCTAAAGTTTGGTCAGGAACTCATCTTTTTGCTATTTGATTCTAACCAAACCATAGTAGATCTATTGGTAGAGCCACTGCTCATCCACATTGAAAGAAATTGAGGTGCTTTGGATGCCTCACTGGATGGTCTTTAGAGTTTTCTCCAGGCATTTTGCACTGAGGAGATACGTGAAGACACCCAGAATCCATTTGGGGGACAGTATTACCTTCCAAATGTCCTGGAATCTCCTAATATATCTGCAGAGAATCACTTGGAACAGGTTTCCCTCCTGAACTTGTTACCCATGTGACTTAATATCAGAAAGTCAGAGAACAAAGGAAGGGTGGATGGATATTATGGATGAATGAACTACAATAAAGGAAGATTAATTTCTGACCCGCCTTAATCTTAGAGTAGGGAAGTAGTTTGAAACCAAAGGTAAGCAAGAAAACAATGATAAACCTCCAACATAAGACTGAGTCACCTGAGTTTAACCAGATGTGTAGGATGATTCTCTCTAGCACCATAAATCCAGGCTAAACAAACATAAAGTGATATTTCATGATAAAAACATATATACAATGCAACACAAATGGTGTCCAGACAAATTAAAGATTAGATCTATCTTTGCCTGCTGTCACGGATGTAGCTGTTCTCGACACACAGCACGATATAGGAGCTGGAGCAGCTGCTGGAGCTCCGCTGCAGCAGGCTGCGGCTCTGCAGCGGCGACGCCATGCCCGTTAGCGCCCGTTCCCCGACGCGCCACGCCTCGCAGTAGTTGTCAACATCCCGCTGACCCCTGCTTGTTGACCCATGCCACATCATCTTCTCTGGCCTTGGAGCAACAAACAAAGCGGCTGTAGCGACCCTTTACTTTCAGGTTTTAGTTTTGTGTAAGGTGTTGCCTCACCATGAGTCATCTTGGAGAACATCTTTGCCGTCGAAGGAGTAGATCGAAACGTTGTCCCTCATTCTGCTATCGCTGAAAATGCGGTTCCAGTTGTCGAACAAAACCTCATCCTGCAACCAAACATGCATCAGAATTAGCTTTTACAACTTTAGGGATTGATTTAATCAAGCAGATTAGTTTCAGCACCTTCAGATTGACTATTGGCACGTTCTCCCTGTTGGAGCTGTAAACGATGCTGTTGAGATCTTCCAGTTTGGAGGACAGGAAGGCTCGGAAAGTTCCCTTCATCCCGATGGCCTGGGCCTGGCTGAAGCACAGGAAATCTGCGCCGGCGATGCCGCGCATGCCGCCCTTCTGAGGGCTGTTCAGCGCAATCAGGTGGAGCTGAGGAAACAAATCATCTCAAAGAATACTCGCACAGATGGAGAGGATTTAGACTGACTGAATTCTTCAGAAAACAATGAAGGAGGGGATTCTCTTGGTTGTTGAAGTTGTCCATGCAATATATCTGGGTATAATAGAGGAGTGGCAATAAGAAGAAGACGTCCTGTAGGACAAAAGCCATGTAAAAAACCAAAACTGACATTTTTGGAATGCAACCAAAATCCTACAGGGTGCAAATCCAAAACTGCAGGTAAAAAGCATCTGGATGCTCAGCCACTGAGTAACAATTGCTTGTTCTATTCATGTAGTAAAACAAGCAAAGATCTTTTCTTTCAAAAAGTGACGTGAAAAAGAAAATCCTTCAGCTGTTTCTAGTATAGGAATTGCTCTTTGAGGGGGTTAGTAACTGTGTAGTCAAAATATTATTTTCACCAAGACTTGCTCTTCATTTCATTATAAATATACTTCCATCTTGTCTTACTGCTGGTCCTGAAGTGTGTCTGTGGATGGGAGCCTGGGGAACCGGAGGCGGCGGTCTCTGAGGACGGGTGACCGGGTAGCGGGGGTCCAAATATCGACCGTCCGGCAGGTTGACGCGATCCGTGTAACTCGGGTATCTGGGATTCGACGGCTGTGGGTAAACCAGATCTGTCTGGTATCGTGAGTCGGGTCGATACCGGGGATCAGAGTCTGGGTTTGACTGTGATGGGGACTGGATGACGGGAGGCAACGCCTCGACTGCGACGCCCTGAAAAAAATGTTTAATGGCTTAAAAAACAAGAAGAGTTGTGTGTTTTAAAAACATAAAACATTAAACCACACTCACCGATTCACTTGGTAAAGAAATGTAGTTCCCAAGCTGAAAATAAAAAAAAATGTATGTTTAAAAAGTGTTTGTGGCAAATGTTGAATCATTACTCAGAACAAGTTTCACCTGAACTTGTCGGACTCCATCCCGGACTCGTACGTAGAGATCTGTTTGGTCGATAACGTACACCAGAGATCCTTCAGGCTGTCTTCTAGCTGTGGCCGCCATGGTGTCATAAGACCGAAACACTGTCACCTGAAAACACCAAGACATGACTCTGCATCTCCTTAGCCTGTTTTATTCATTCATAGATCCAACAGCAGAAAAAAAACAGCTGCAAGTCCATGAAGATTGTTCAGTTTCACGGTTTTCAAGTAATTATTTCAACAATTATCCTTGTCTATGATATATATTTCATAATGTCTGAGACAATTTAAAAATATCTGTATATAAAAACTCACTCCTGAAGAAAGTCCTGGAAGACCTGGAGTTCCAGGAGGTCCTGGGGGTCCAGGAATACTGATAGCTGTAATAAAACAACAAAAAAAATACCTTTAACACATTTTAGACAAAAGTTTTGGGTATTTTTCTTTTTCTTCTACAATTTTTTTAAAAACTCAGTTTCTCCAGAAAATTAAGAAAAAGCCAGTAAGCTGCTGACTCTATCCACTACAACTACTAGTCACATATTTTATTGTGTTAAGTTTTTAGTTATGAAATTAGAAATGTGGAAAAATGCAAACAGCAGAAGCCAAACAAGAAAACAAAAGTCTTTTAGCATTTAATAAATTTTTCACAGACATAAAATTTAATCCTAAGCACCACAATGGTTTATCGTCCTATTTTCTGTGGTACTATATACAAAAATAAATAATTAAAATAATAAAACTTATATCCGTCCTATGTTTGCAGTCATATCTCAAAAAAATTTACCAAAATACCAATCTTAATTTTTCAAAGAATAAAGTTAAGTATGAGAAAAAAGAAATTTTCTTACAAATTACTTAGAGGAATTAACTTTAAATTAGGAGAGGGAATAATCTTTCATAGTTTGAGTTTGTTTTTTTAACTGGACTCACACTGTGTTCCTCCATAGGGCCCAGACAAGGATGAACCTGGAGGTCCGGGTGGGCCTGGTGGGCCTGGTGTTCCAGGTCGACCGTCATAACCTCTTCCTGGGGCTCCAGGAGGCCCCTGAGGGCCCGGTGGACCAACAACTGATTCTCCTTTTGGACCCTGGTCAGAGAGACAACTTTGATCATCCCTAAATCAGCATATTGGAATTTTACCCAGACAAGAAAATATAGAAATGTGGGTTTTTTTTTTTCCATTCAGAGTTAATAACTTCTAGTGTTTTTTAATGCTAGTATGTTCAAACTAGTAACAGAAAATGCCAGATCAGTCTTTGTGTCGCTTATAGCTGTAAAATATTTATATTGTATGTTTTCAGAGTACAAGTGTTAACAGAAAATATCATGCTTCTATGTTGTGGATTAATTTTCAAGTGGACATTTATTTAACTTATAAACATATATTTTCATAAAATCAATCACATGTGTAACATTTCTAGACTTTATAAACATTTAATCAGTGCTTGAATGTCTGTGACCCACTAAAGTAGGGATGCATCCTGTAAAAAAGTCTGGCTCATCCTTGAAGATGCCAAATTCAGCAGTTCAAGTAATAATACATGAGTACAGACAACTCCAGCAACTATTATGAGAAGCTTGAGGACGGAAACCCAAAACATTTGACCCAAGTCATACCGTTCAAGGATAATTCTACCAAATACTGAGGAAATGGATGTAGATGGTGGTCTTACTTGTGGTCCAGGTGGTCCTGGTGAGCCAGCTCCTCCTCCGTATCGGGGGTCATAATAGCCGCCGCCTGGTTCTCCTTTCTCTCCTTTTAAACCAGCCTCACCTTTCAACTCATTCTGGACAAAACCAAATCGATTTTCACTTAGAAACGAACTGATTTAATCTGTAACGCAGATAGAATGGTGGAAATAGTGGGTGATTTTACCTTTAAAGTGTAAAAGTCAAAGCCTGTTCCCAGACCTGAAGAAGAGGCAAATATTTACCTCATGTTGTATTAATTTTATATATGAACATTAACTAATGCTACCTTGAATTTCAAGTATTCCTGGTGGTCCAGGATCGCCTTTCTCTCCTTTAACTATGCAAAAAAAAGAGGAATGAAAACATAAATAGCAGCAGATTTCCTTTGTGAAACTTTGATTTGTATGAAAGAAAGTCTGAAAACTTACCTGCGTAATACCTTGAGTATTCATCACGCCCCTAAAGCAAAGAGAGGAAACAGTCAGAGACAAAGTCATCGTTCCTTGATCTAAATGGGAATGAGATGTCTCCACCCAACTCACGCCTGGAGGTCCGGGGGGACCGGGGGGCCCCGGAGGTCCCGCGATTCCCTGAGAAATAACAAGCAATGAATAACGTCTTCATGACTCACTTGTTCCAACACCAAAGCTTTTCAAAGCACTTACAGGGTAACCGTATCCAGACCCACCGCCAGAGTCTCCCTTCTCTCCTTTGACCCCGTTTAATCCTGGTCGACCCTGAAATATTAAAGTCATCCTTCAGTCATTTTCTTATCTTAATAAAAACAATAGTTTAAATGTTTTCTTAACGCAACAGAAACATACTGATCTCCCAGGAATACCAATCTCTCCTTTTGGCCCAGAAGGACCCCGCGGACCCTGGAGAAATAGTTACTCTTGTCAAACTTGCACAATCCTGGTATCTTGTCAAAAAGATGAAAACGTATTAAATCAGTACATACAGGAGGTCCCACTGGGCCAGGACTTCCTCTCTCCCCCTGCGAATCAACACCATCAGTCACTTTAACTCTTAATTATATATAATTCATGTGCCAGTGGCTCAATGTCTGAGACTTAAGAATGAAGAAAGCCAGGAAGAGCAGAGGATGTTGTGCATTGACGTACCGGCTGTCCTGTCAGGCCTCCCAGATATAACGGCCTCCCGTCAGGTCCCATGACAATGCCAGGCTCTCCTTTCTGTCCCTGCAAGATAAAAAGTACATATTCTCTCAAAACATTTAAAATGAGAGCAAAAATCTGACAGCTAGACTGCTGCAACCACCATCACTGGTTAGAAGTTATTCAGATCGACCACTACATTAGTGATGGTTGTTCAGATCCAGATTTTCCAGGTTTTATCTGTTCATCTGCGTTATTAGTGGAGGGATGTGGACAGATTTTCACTAATAGGACTGTCTCACCTTAGGAGCATATCCTGGAGCACCAGCATCCCCTTTGTCTCCTTTAGGCCCCGCTGGTCCCTAAATCAAAAGACATACCACCATTAGTTTAAGTTGAACGCTTGTCTCAATAAAGTGAGGTTGGTAGATGCATTGATACGTACTGGGAATCCTGCTCGCCCTGATCCGCTCTAAAGAAGGAGAGACGGCTCATTAAAGAAAGAACAGCCTGGTTCTTACTTGGTGAACGTCAGTGAGTTTTAGTTTAGTTTAGGGAACAGGGGGAGCATCAACTCACCTGTCCCAAATCGTTCCAATAAACCTCGTTAAACTAGCAAGACAAAGTTAGGTTAGTTAGTAACAAGCAGTGAGGCAGGCAGTGACCGTGCAGTGAAGGAGGGAGAGGATGGTGAAAAGTTGAAGGGTTAATTTCATTTTCCAATTAATTAATGTACATTTATAGTTAGAGGTCTGACTCACATCTCTAGATGACGGCTGGTAGAGAATCTGTCCTGGTTGGCCGGGCGGTCCGGGTGGTCCAGGTGGTCCACCATCTCGACCTGGACGGCCCTGAGTTCAGAATAAACACGTAAATTTAAGAAACAGCAAAATATTTTTTATGTGAACTTGGGTTAACGCTTAATGAATGTGTTGTAGTTTAAGATTAAAGCCCATTAGGGCCTGCAAAACTTAAAATTGAAGTTTAAAATAAGATTCTGAAATGGCATTTTAGCATCAGTGTTTGAACAAACAATTAAATAACACAAAAACAGAAAACAAAAGAGGTCTTAATGTAGAACCCGGTGGAACACCTTTTAGTTTATTTTTTTAAAAGAAAGCTATACAATATAAATTAGCTAATTTTTTCAACAACATAATGAAGATTCTTCTCAAAATACCAAATTCGACACACAGTTTTAAAGCAAATACTTTGGTTGAACAAGAAGGTATTTTTCTTGCAGATAACAATAAAGTTAGACAGTACAAAGACAAGATTCCCATACATTTTTCATTCAAAATTTCTAGACATTTCTCAATAGATTTAACCATTTGGAAAGAAATATTATTTTGCCAATCTAACCTATTGGTTTCTTCACCCGCACACCTCACCACCTTCTAGCTGCCCTTGCAAATATCAACAAACCACGGTCACTTCTTTCATCATACAACACTACAGTTTCTCTGACTTTTCTCTAGATCCACATACTTTTCACCTACACTCTTAGAGGAAACATAATCTTTTTCTCAACATTTAAACCAATTAGCCTCACCAATCTTCTGAATCTCATTCAACAAATTCCTCTTTAGCTATTATTCAGGAAATAAAGGAAACTCACCGTCTCTCCCTTCTCTCCTTTCTCTCCCTGTTTACCCTAGAGAAATCAGCACAAGTAAAGATTAGTATCTTAAATGACACATTTAACTATTATGTGTCTGGAAATATTGCATGATAAAGATGGTCAGTACTATTGTTCCAGGGTATCCGTCAATGCCTGGAATCCCAGGAGGTCCCCTTGGTCCCTCTGCTCCTTTAGCTCCATGAACTCCTGGAAAACCTGGCTTGCCCTACAAACCACAATTAAACATTTTTACCTTTCACTTTAACTAATAGATCAAATAAATAAAGTAGGGCATGGATGCACACAGGCAAATCTTGTAAAAATTAATCTTTTTTGTGTTTGTGAAGGTTGTTCTGCAAAATTTGTCACAAAAATCAGTTTTATTATTTACCAGTTTTAAGAAAAAAAGCTGCAAGATGAAAATCCCAGATTTTTTTTCACGAAAATTAATTTTAAAAACAATATTGTCATAAAACATAAAACATATTAATCAGAGAAATATTAATTGGTGGAAACATACAGGAAGTTTTATATAAAAATGCTTTGGAAACATAACCAATCAAAAAAGCCAGTTTGAAACCATAAATAAAATATTTAATAAAAACAATTATTCCTAATAGTTGCCACAGCAACACCTAAAACAAGGCTGCAGCTTATCAAAAAGCAGTCAAGTTGATTTTTAGTTCTGCTAAAAATAATAGTTTTCAATATTTTTATTTAGTACAAATATTGTTTTGACAATTTCCAGAAAGTGACTGATTGGTTTAACTTTACAAATTTTATCATGTTTTCTTATCTTACGAGCTTCAAAAACTCAATCTGACGTCTTTACAAGAGCAGCTGAAGAAAATGTCCATTACTTACAGGTAGACCAGCAATGCCAGGTGGACCCTGAAGACATGATACAGATCAGAAAGTATAAGGATGACATAATCAGAGAACCAACTGTCCAATATGGCTACCTGTGGTCCAGGTGGGCCTCTGAGGCCAGGCAGGGCATTTAGCACCTCATTTTGATTCCCCTGCATGGAGAAAATGTGAATTAGAAAGAATATTTGAACAGTTATACACTTTTGTGATTTTGAATTTTTAATCCTGCCTCAAAGGAGATTAACTTTGAAACCGTGACTCACACTGCCAGCGAGGTACGGTGGCCCCGGTGGTCCAGGAGGCCCTGGAGGCCCAACTGGTCCCATGGGACCTGGAAGTCCTGCCAAACCAGACTGTCCAGGTGTACCCTGCCTTCCCGCATCACCCTGACCACCCTGAGTCAGGATTACAAGCAGAAATATTGTGTTTTGTATTGGAAAATTATGTTAGACAATTAAAGGAGAAAATTAGAGGAAAACCGAAAGAAGACATTCAAAAAGTGGAAAAGCAAAGGCAGATTTCTAAATATTTAGACAAACGAAGAAGAATTAGATTTCTATCTGAAACATTGTCATCTTTATGGAAATGGAAAACGTTAAAAAGCAAAGCAGATCAGCAGAGAAGTAACCCAACCCAGTACCTGCTACCCATTACACACCCAGGATGGAGCAAAGAAAGAGAAGAGGTAATTGAAAGGGTTGGAGTCCGTTGTGTCTTGCTAGAAGAAAGCAACAGAGAATCTATGTGGTTTTGCAGCAGCATTTTCTATTATTTTTAAACAGTAAACAAATCTTTGTGCGTTTTATTTTTAGCTATTTTAACTAACCTTTTCCCCAGCTGGACCAGGAAGGCCAAGATCACCACCGTCACCCTAAATAATAGAAATTAAAACATTATTGCTGAAGGCAAAACGCATCATAAAAGCAGGTGGTTTCATTAGCAAGCAGAAAATGAAAACACTGACATGGCTACAGACAGCAAGAGGCGCTATTGTCAAACCATAACATTGAAAATGAACTACCTTCATCCCAGAAAGTGTATAGTTCTGGTTGTAGTTTATCATAAAGATGAGTCTTATAGTTTCTTTTTAAATAATTTGAAGGTTGGTCAGGCCTAAATAAAACTAAAGTAGCCTGACTACCTTGTGGAATCCTTTCTGTCTGATTTAAAAAGCAACAACAAACTTTTGTGCCAATTTCTGGCACAAACGTAGATGATAATGAGTTTTACCTTTTCTCCTCTGGACCCGGGTCTACCAGGGAGACCAGGAGGTCCAGGTGGGCCCTGAAAACAACAGAAATGCAGATTTAAACCCTTTAGCTACTAAGTAATCAAACAAAATACAATGAAATAAAATTGGATTCTCACTGGTAGGCCAGGCACTCCATCTTGTCCAGGTGGTCCAGGAGGTCCAAAGGCTACTGGACCATCGGGTCCGATGGCTACTGAAGTACCAGGTGTCCCAGGTCGGCCGGGCGGACCAGGGGGCCCAGAAGGACCAGGTGGACCCTGTCCGTCACATTTCACAACTACCATTCTGTGATATTTTTTAACACTTTTCTCAATGGTGAACAACTTACCCGGAAAGTTTCCAAGTCTGGGAATCCTGAACCCTCCATGTCAACAAATGTCTACAAAAACATTCACTGTGGTTAGATTTTTTGTTTTGACAAACATTGGCTAGAAAGGAAGATCTTTTCACATACTGGACGATCACCAGTGCCAGGTCCTGGAGGTCCTGGAAGACCTGGGGGACCTCTTGGTCCAGGGGAACCCTCTCCAGGTTCACCCTGGAATGATTCAGAGATAATAAATTATCATCATAAATCGAGACTTCACATGATTAGCATAATGGCTTCATGTATCGCACCTTTTGGCCTTTCATACCAGCCGTTCCTGGAATTCCTGGAGAACCCTGCGGTCCAGCAGGACCCTAAAAAAATTATAAAATTAAAGACGTCAATTGATGAATAGTCAGTCAATTCAGAGAAAAGTCCTGCTGAAAAGACACTTACAACTTTTCCATCCTCTCCTGGATCACCCTAAACGAAAAAGAAATGGTCACAAACTAATATTTTTATTTAACCATTTTAATTTCTTGCACTTACAGGCTGTCCATCAGCCCCTTGAGGTCCTTCAGGCCCTTCCAGCCCTGGTGGCCCAGGTGGCCCAGCTGGACCAGCCAACGGCTGCACAACGGAGCCATCGCCGAGTCGGACAACCTCGGCCGAAGGTCCTGGAGCACCAGGAGGACCAGGAGGCCCCTGAACGCCACGTTCACCCTTTTTGCCAGGGTATCCAAAACCAGTATCACCCTGGAGAGAATAACAAGTAGGCAAGCTTTTAGATGTTTGGTCTTACTTTGTTTATGTCTACATCACTGATGGTTCCACTGATAGCTTCACTTTCACTGTCACAGTTCTCTTTCTGTTACCAATCAGCCCTGATACCTACTGCCATCCACTCCACCATGCCAGCATTCACTTCTTCTCTAAACCTTCACTTTGAAAATTACAGTAGATCATCCACCATTAGTGCCTCTACTTCCTGAAACTTCATTGTGGTTCCCTAATTCCTGTACATTTTTGTTGTAGCATCAGAAAAAACATAAGAATCCACTACCCCAAAGTCCAATAAATGCACTTCACATACCTTTTTACCCTTTTCTCCCTAGAAAGAAGAAAAGAAAACTGGTTATTTGTGTCAGATGTAAATGTTTACTCAGAAATTAGAGACTTCTTACTTTGTTGCCTTGCTCTCGACCCTGAGAGGACAAACTGGAGCCTGAATCCCCCTTTGGCCCTGCAGGACCTCTGTCCCCTTTCAGACCTTTCTCTCCTCTGTCGCCCTTCTCACCTTTGCCTCCTAAAGAAGAGCAACAAGTTAGCCTGTTTAGAGCATGGTCTTACAGGATTGACAAATGTAAAAGCCAATGCAAAACTTACAAAGCAAGCAGTTTGTGACGTTAGCATGAATGATCCTAAATACTAATTAGGCTAGGTGGGTTCAGATGATCAAACAAGTTTTAAAGTCCTAAAATGCAACATATGATGCCCCAATCTAAAGACATTTGAGGCAAGAAACACTCATTAATATTCATTTGTCCAGATAGGCTTACAAAGACATTTCTAAGACTTTGAGACTCAAGTGAACAGCAGTGAGAGATATAGTGTACTAAAGTCTATTTATGGTGAAAATATGAAACATAAAAGGACCTTCCCAGAGGGGCCAACCTACAAAAATTACCTGTACATCTCCTTTATGCAGAGTGCACAAAGATAGCAAAAGGAATCCAATATTTTTTTTCAGAAAACTCTGAACAACCAAGCAATGGTACTAAGGTAACAGAAGTTGACCTTTTCAGGTCTGTGGATTGTTATGAGTGGCATATTCAATGCTCCACTTACAGATTACAACTGACAAACTTGGCGCTTGGAGCAAAACTTCATTCTCAGGTCCAGACAAGTTGTATCAAGTGCATATTTCAGCTGATGAGACTTTGACGCTACATGAGTAATCTTTGGCAGAGGCTACTGTACTCAGAAAAAACATTTCTTTTTCACATTTTCAAACCATTCAACAACTTGGTAAAACCACTTCCAAGTTGAGTTTTCGTTCTTTTCACCTGAGGTTCCTCTTCTGGCTCCTGTTTGGGATGTAATTGGGGGTTCAGGTACGGGACGAAGGGGTGGAAAAGTGATCTAAGAAAAACAAAAACACCACCAAACCCGTTGTTTTCTATATATCCAGAAAAACAACTATACACAACTATATCAAATAGTTATTATTCCAGCTAAGACATTTGCAAACCAACCGTCTTAGTGTTTTCTTTCTGTCTCCTGTCAGCTTCTTTGTTGCCACTGTCACCAGAACCCTGACATGAAAAGAAACGTGTCACACAAATGTGTTTGTTCACTTCAATTAAGATTTTCACAGAAACACTCACTTCATCAGGGTAATCCTCATAATCACAGAAACCCTGAAATGCCTGAAGGTTTCCCACAAGTCTTATCTCTCCAATGTCGCCCTTAAAAGACACAAATAACTTATAAGTAATGAAGTAAAACAGTAGAAGCATAAATTTGTGAAAAATACAGTTAACAACTAGAACTCAGAGGAAGTTTGAGGCCTACAATAATTACAGAATACTATGTATTCTTAAGATTTCCTCACTGGTGAGACATTTGAATATTTCAGCTTCTTTTATTTGGTCACTTCATATAAAACATGTCTTCAGGACCCAAGTGCTGCCTTCTAAGTCCAAAAACAAGAAAGCAAACAAAAGGAACCAGTGACGAGTAACGAGTCTGAGAGGTAAATATACAGAGGAGGGAGTGGCAATGACAAAGGAACCAATTAGGGAAACTGAGTGCAGCGAGTCAGACTTGATGAGATAAATGACTAGAATCTGGGGAAGCGGAGTAAATGGTAAAGAATGACAATAGAGGGAGACCTAAACAGAAAGTCTAGCAAAATATATCGAACACCTGGAATAAGAAGGAATAAACTAGAGTGAAATCATACGGAAGCAAACAAATCCAAAACTCAAACACTTGAACCAACTGAGGGAATAAACTAGAATGGGGAAAATAAAGGAGGAAAAGAAACAAAAGCAAAAGTCCATAAGGGGATACGACAGAAAATGTTAAATTGTTTTCAACTGGTTGTTAGCTCTGGATTTGCATCCAAGATTATCCAAGAAGATAAAACCTGTGGTGCCAAGCCAATTGTAAGAGTTACTTAGTTATTACCTCAAACTTGTCTGGATCAGCTCTTCCTGCTTGACCCACAAAGATCATACTTCCATCATCCAGGTCCATCGGATCAGGCGAGCGCTCAAACCTCACCACTTCTGGATCCCTGTCACATTCTGGGTGAAAACTGACTTGTTCGTCAGACACAGACAGAGCAAAAACGTTCCAATGGCTATCAAGCCTTGGAACTTCAAAGCTGGCCGCCTCATACGAAGACTCAGAATCAGGTTCAGTGTAGAAGAACTGGATCTTTTGACGACCAGACTGCACTGCGCTGAGCTTCACACCGATGTACATGAATTTCTGGGTGCTGTCTGTGATGGAGAAGAGGACGGATGCAGCAGGAGTGGAAGGACTGAGGTGGAAAATGATGGTGAAGTCCCTGTAGAATGGACTGGGAACAAAGTCCTGGGCCAGTTGTCCTGATGACGATGCTGAGGTAAACCTGTAGGCAGGTCCTCGGGCCACTGTAACTTTAGCTATTGAATCTGGTGGAGGATCTCCAATCAGCTGGTGCAAAAAGACACCACTTTTTTCTGCAAGAGAGACCAGGACAGAGGATAAAATAAGAGGATATAATGTGGACCAGATGAAGAAAAAGTTGCTGGTAATCCAGTTCCCACAGACTGTAACAGGACAAAAATAAACAACCAGCACATTTGAGAGCAATAATTACATTTTCATACACCAACAATCACCAGGGGGAAAGAGTTTTGGCCTTTTGCCGATTCTTGAAAGATGTGGGGTTTACCCCAGAGTATACATGATGTCAGTGTCTTGTTTCTGTGGAAATAATTTAGCAGTAAATTACAACCCTAACAAAGGCTATTTAATGGGAAATTGCAATCTAGCATGTCTGCAACTTTTATTTCTCTACATTTTGGCTAGACTATAACTTCAGGTGGGAAGAATTTGTCTAATAAATCTAATGTGCAACAAACTCTTTGAATGTAATTTCTTAAGGCTGATTCAACTCCTGGTCCACTTTGGTTATGCAGGAAAGATTATCTTTTTATGGATTGCTGAAAGCTAATGTTTTTGGTCAGTGGTTGTTTTCTCTTACTTTATTCATGTAACACAGGGTCAATGAATAAAAGTAAACAAATCTAAGGTTTCTTAGATTTGTGAGATGGATATTATTAAAGTCTCATCTAGAGATTTGAGCCAAATAGCAAAGTTGTTGGTTTATCATTCCAGATCCTCATCCAGTCAGAATATGGAAAACAACCCAGAGTAAATATCAACCAAACTAACTTTGGGAGGTTTATGTGGACCTTGCCAACCTTATGCCTTATGAGTCATATTTAATGCTCCAGTTGCAGATTAAAATGGACAAAATTTGCCTTTGGGGTAAAATTTCATACTCTGTTCCAGACAATTATTGTCAAATACATATTTTAGCTGCCTAGACTTTGACACAAGATTAGTAATCTTTGGCAGAGGTTTCTAGATTCTGAAGTATCACTTCTGTTTCACTTTTCCAAGTTGTTCTATAACTTTTGACTATATTTATTGATTTAGTTTAGATTTGGTTTCACCTGAGGTTCTGATTCCAGCTCCTATTTGGCGTGAATTTGTGGGCTTAGAGACCGGACGGAAGGATGTAGAAGAGACCTGAGGGGACAAAAGTGTGAAACTGAAATTTCTTTTATGTTAAATATAAATATGCACAAAATCCTCAACACAGTTATAACAGGCATATCATATTCTAATTGGACAATCTAAAGAAGTCTACAAACCTACCGTCTTTCCTGTTTGTTTCCCATCAGCCTTTCTGTTGCCATCATCTCCAGAACTCTGAGACACGACAAGGAATGTGTTAAACTAAAGTGTTGATTCACTTTAATTGAAATGATTGCAGAAAAACTCACTTCATCTGGGAAATCGTCTTGGTCACAAAAGTCTTGAAATGCCTGAGGGTTTCCCACAAGTCTTAGGTTTTCAATTTCACCCTTTAAAGACACAAACAACTTATAAGCACTCAAGTATGACAATAGAACCATGAATTCATAGAGGTTTAGTTAAATTTATGAAGAGAGGGACTCTTGACAGAGCACAGGAATGGGAGACAGAGGCAAAAAGACATGGACTCTTGTTGGAAAACTGTGGATTATAGGACAGTTTACCTTGTCCTATAATCCACAGTTTTCCAACAAGAGTCCATGTCTTTTGCCTCTGTCTGGAAACTTTCATCAGAGAATTTATGTAACACAAATCTGACGTGGACCTACAAAAGGCTGAGAAGTAGTCATTGGGAACAGTGAGGGAGAGATTGATCACAGATCACAGAGCTCTGAGAGCTCCACAGACACAGACACTCTGTTGCTGTTGTGGACTTAGAAACCTTTGCAACAGCATCTGCTCCTGCAGACAAAGGATCTGCTCCTGCATCATTAGAGAAACCTGCACTCTTGCATGCCGATGTGAACACTGGCACACACGTTGAGCTTTTGTCAAGAAGTGTGTTGTTTACATACACGAGGGAATGGCAATTAAAGGTTAAATAAAAAAGAAAGAAATCTTACAGAACTAGATACAAGGTGAACGTGACGTGAATTATGGACAGAGTAAGGTTTGATGCATTTGACTAAGAAGATAAAACCTGTGGTGCCAAGGCAATTGCAAGAGTTACTTAATTATTACCTCAAACTTGTCTGGATCAGCTCTTCCTGCTTGACCCACAAAGATCATACTTCCATCATCCAGGTCCATCGGATCAGGCGAGCGCTCAAACCTCACCACTTCTGGATCCCTGTCACATTCTGGGTGAAAAAACTGACCTGTTCGTCAGACACAGACAGAGCAAAAACGTTCCAATGGCTATCAAGCCTTGGAACTTCAAAGCTGGCCGCCTCATATGAAGACTCAGAATCAGGTTCAGTGTAGAAGAACTGGATCTTTTGACGACCAGACTGCACTGCGCTGAGCTTCACACCGATGTACATGAATTTCTGGGTGCTGTCTGTGATGGAGAAGAGGACGGATGCAGAGGGAGTGGAAGGACTGAGGCGGAAAATGATGGTGAAGTCCCTGTAGAATGGACTGGGAACAAAGTCCTGGGCCAGTTGTCCTGATGACGATGCTGAGGTAAACCTGTAGGCAGGTCCTCGGGGCCCTACAACTTTAGGTATTGAATCTGGTGGAGGATCTCCAATCAGCTGGTGCAAAAAGACACCACTTTTTTCTGCAAGAGAGATCAAGACAGAGGATAAAATGAAACCTTTGAAACATTTCTAAACCTGAGATAAAAACACATCCTCCACAGGTTTGCTCTAACACAACTGATTCAAAGTGATGCATAAAATTATCCACCATGTCTTCAAATTCTGCAGTTCTGTGAATAACCCACTGATTAAAATGTGTTGAATTAAACAAGATATCTTCTTCTGGGGACGAGGAAGAACTCTGTAACAAACAGTGCAATTACTAGTTAGGAAATCTTATGTTGGAGTTTTAAAGAAAACCAGGCACAAGCTGCTGCAAAGGTAGCTAAAAATCTAATTGAGCAATGAGCACCAGACGAAAAACAAATAAAACTGAAGGTTAAAAAGAAACCTGAAATTTCATCTAGCAGAGTCCTTGAGCAAAATATTTGAGACACATTTTGATAGAGAAACACGAGACACAGAATTATAAGCTACATTTATGAGACAAAGACTGGACCTTATGAACACAATCCAGCTCCCATAGACTGAAATATGCTAAAAATGAACAAGTAACAGCTTTGAGAGCAATAACACATTCTGATACACCAACAATCACCAGGGGGAACACATGCTGGCCTTGTGCAGATTCATGGCAGACATTAGTGTGATGTCAGTGTCTTTGAAGCAGCGTTACTCACTAAAGGAACTATATTCAATCTTTCAGGTCTGGAAAAGCTTTGGCATCTTTTTGGATAAGGAAACAATGTTTGGTTTCACTCCTGGAAATAATTATATTACTTAGTATAATTTATTAAGATTATATTTATTAAGATTCCAAAGGAAACAGTACAAGGATTTTACACTTAAGCAGATGGGACTACAATATTTCTATGACAAACTAAACTTTAAGTTGCTTCCTCTTAGTTTAGATGTAAATTTAAAGAAAGCAGCTTTAAAGTTACATTCAAATTATGGAAATTCTCTTTGGGTTTCTCTACCCAAAGAGAAACCAATGTAACCAATGCTTCATTATTGTTTTCTTGTGTTTAGCTTAGCTTGGACCTTTGTGGGATTTTGATCCAGCTGAATCTGGGGTGGGACAGGGTGGTCTTCTTCCCACTGAGGGCATCTGCTATCAGTTCATCTCCCATGAATGCAGCTGCTGCAGCTGTTGCAGCTCATGTGTGCAGAGAAAGTTCACTTCAGCAGGGTAACTTGCTTTTAATTAAGACCCTCCAGTTCTGCTCTGATTGAATAAATTTCCCCATCTGGAAGTTGTTTAAACTGACTACAGTTTCTGCACAAACATAAACCAGAAGTAATGAAATAAACCTCCACTGAACAGGGAACATTTCTGCCTAAAAACCAGACATAGAGTTTTAATTTCATCACACATGCAACCTATTCCTGACCTGTAAAGTTATTTAAGGTTCTTCTAAGCTGGCTTCAGAAAACAGATTTATACATACTGCATCCTAGAATCTTACATTTTACTAAATAATCTGAATTATTAGACAGAAAGTAGATGTATTTCCTCTTCATTTTAGTTTATAAACCTTTAAATCGTTGAACTGGTTGGTCCAGTTCGTCCAGTGATGCGGTCAGAACCACCTGGTTCCTAAAAATCATTTCTCTAGACCTGATAAAAATATTGCCCAGCAGAGACTGGTCTTCCTGCAACTCAAGTTGTACAACCTTCGACAGAAACAGTTTTTTTATTCAGTCTGTCCTGTTTCATTTCAGTTCTACAGAGAGAATCATCGAGACTGACCATTCCTCCATCCAGGACTTGGACATATTCAGTTTCACATGTCATTTCCAGATATCTCAGAGAAATCCATCACTGGTGTACAATTTGAAGGAAAAGCCTCTTCCAGCAGTAGTAAGAGGCTCAGATGGACAGATGGGCAAATAGGAGGAGGAAGGAAATGCGTGTCAGATATCCATGGGAAAGTGGACCATGAGGGACTCTTGGATGGATGAAGCACAGAGCCCCAAAAGAATAAAACTGACAGAAAAGAGTGGTAGAAACATGCCAGAAGGTCATATTGGAGCAAACAGGATTCCTCCAGAGGTTGAAGAGGGCCTCCTATCCCCCCCGGGGAGACATATAGATTTCCTTGTAGAAAATATAAAAATAACCAGTCAAAGATTTGTTACTTAAACTTTACATTGTTAATGAGACAAACCATAAACGGCTTCAGAAACACTACTTAACTCTCTTCTTGACCTAAAATCTCTTCATTGGTAGAGAAAAAAGATTAATTGTGCACAATCTTTGTTAGTACTATTTCCAGTAATGACTGAATTTTACCTAATTTTAAAAGCTGCCTGCCTTATTAGGCCAAACAAGCCCAGCAGAGGCATGTTAATCTGACCAAATAATGACACACTGTGCTGAATCATACCCTTTATCCTCAAATAACCTGAAACCAAATACTGGCGTTCACACAGTCAGAGAGAGACAAACATTTTTGCTCAGCTGTAGTTCTGTCCTCTGGAGACCAACCTGTTAACCAACAGAGGTGAGACAGCTGCTGCACCTTCAACTGACCTCTGATCCACAGACAGAACCGTATTCCTGCCCTGAGAGATCAGAGATATAGCTGTGAAAACTCTATAAACAAGCTACACAAAGTTATTCTGCAGCATAAAGTTTGTCCTTCAAGTTTTCATTGACATGATTTTAAAATATAATCTCATTCTCATGTCTTGTCATTACACCTCCAGTTGAGTCTTATCATCTCAAAAATTTACTTCATTAGTCCTACAAGAAGCAGAAAAGAGGAGAGAATTGGCTTTGGGTGTCTTCTGAAATCAACTTTGTTCAAAAGTGCAGCAGCAACTGTCTTCAGGAGTGTTTTGTTCAGGAAATAGGGTTAGAAATTGGATTTACTACTTCCTTTAATCTCCAGCTCGAAGTACTCTAATTTTGGACAAAAATACATTAGGGTAATTTGTAGAGACTTTAAATAGTATCCAAGTATAAGAAAGTGTTTCAGCTGATATCACTTCAAGTTCATAGAAGGCAAATCCAAGCTCCAATAAAAGCCTTTTTCAGACAGCATCCCACTATCAGTCTGCTCATCTCCTAATTATCTGCCCAGTACACATTTACCGCAAGCGTTGCTGGTTTCAAAGGGTAGGCGACTGGTGCTGCCCTTTGACCCCTGGCAGAAGCCGCAAACTGTCTTGTGTCACACCAGCGACAAGGCTTCTATTTTTTCCAACCTCGACATCGTTGCCCTCTCCCAAACCAAGGATACAATATAGGCAGTCTTCCCCAAGAAAAAAACGATTTCCCACCCACAGCATCCATCATAAATGTCATCTGCAGCTTCCACCCCTACCCAAAAAAGTTTCTCCCACAGCAGACGACCTCACTGACTTTCCCTCTCTGGGATTATGGAAAGGAGAAGATCCCAGCAACTGATTAGAAGTCAGCACAATGAAGAGGAGATGTAAACCAGAACTGGGATGAGGGGAAACCCGTCTGACTCCACTGATTCTGAACAAAAACAAAACCCATAATTTTATTACTGCTAATCCAATGAAAATCTAAATTATTGCACAAAACTGATAGAAAAACCTGAATATGTGCCAAAACTAATTATGTAGTGATTTCTAACAATGTTTTGTTTTCATTCCCTATTTTGATTTTAACGGTTTAAATGCCTAATGCCCCTTAATATGCATTAACTTGCACATTGGAAACGTCTTTCCACTGCAGCAGAAGCTATAGCATCCATGGTCTTTATTAAATCTGCCAGTGATTAAATGGTTCTGATCTCCAGGTAACCTGTTCAGATTCTGCGATTTTGGTAACTTTGCACATTTTCTCTGGTAATCAACAATAGCCGCTGGTTTGTACTGGTTATAAATATTTATTTCTCAAATTATTAGCTTTGGTCTGGGCCTACCAATCATTAATCCTTACTCATATTGTTATTTGCCACATTAGCTGATAAATCCTTTACTATTTTTCCCAGGAGGAAAATAAGTATTGAATGTCCAAAACTACATTTGGTAAATGTCAGGCATTAATGCAGGCCAGTGTGGTATGAAAATCCATAAAGTCAGCTGATGAATTGTTGTTTTGTTTGGGTGTTTTCTAGTTTTGAGGCTAGATATTTGGTAGATTAAATATGTTCTGGGAAACATTGGTAATCAGATTATGTTATGGCCTCATGTTTGATTTGATGAAAGTCTTTGCAACCCTCCTTATTTATGTGAGACTGGAAGCCAGTGGTGAAGCGTTCAGCACACCAATGTAATGAACGGTGCTCTGATGAACATGCATTCATTAATTACGATGTTTGCAGATGACATTGTGAGTTTTATGGATCAGGAGTAAGAAAGTCAGGAGACATGGGGAGTAAAGAATAAAAGCGTGTGACAGTGAAACACGATGCATGTGTGAGAAGAAGCTCCAGGGAGTAAATAGTTTGAAGATGAATGAGTTCAAGGATTCTGGGTCGGGAAGTTTCAGGAATGATTTGTGACAGGAGGCTGCAAGAGAAAGGGAAGGTTTACAAGTTGGCAGTGAGACCTGCTATGATATACAGACGTATATCTACGGCTATATATCACTAAGACTGGAGGAGGAGCTGAAGATGTTGAGTTTTCACTAAGAGTGAGAGAATAGGTTAGTAAATTAAGAAAAACTTTGAAGTTGAGGTGGTTTGGGGCAAATCAAGCAGAAGTTGATCATTAACAAAGAGAGGGGAAAGAGGAAGACCTGAATTCTTTAATTTCTTCCACATTTTTGATCAATTTAAGTTGATTCTTTGCATGTGTTTCAAGTGGAAAGCCCCATGACACTATATTGAAGCACAGCTGTATTTCTGATCCCTTTCTTCACAATGCAAAGCTAAATCCAAAACACCCTGAGTAAATTTAATTGGAGCAAAATGTTCCAATTAATTTCTACTTTACGAGACAGAAAAAGTTATCTAAACATGAACCTGGAACTTCTGTTCATTAAATGCAAGACATTTGTACAAACTCTTCCTATGGGAAAATATACTGACAGTTTTATGGAGCACAGTTCAGAGGTTAACCCTGACAATTAGCTGACAACCCCGCACTGCTAAATTTATGAAGACACCAAGACACAAAAAGAGTTTTTGCATTCACATCCCTTTCGATTCCACAGAAAAGAAGAAAAGCTTCTAAATTATTTCTTTTCAATACAACCTGTTTTAAGCATAAAAGGGGATTTTGTTTATGTTAAGTAACCAGAATCGCAGTGAATGAGACTCAGAAATGTCAAACAATTTCATCTTATTGTATTGTTTCGTTTCATTCTCTAAGACACAAATCAAAGAAGTTTAGTGATTTGTATCACTAAACAGTAACCAGTAGCTACATTTACTAATTCATTGATATGCATCGATGCTTAAATAAGTAGAAATAATCCTGATAATAAGGACAGTGTAAGTTTTTTTTATTCTATTGCAAATTTTACAGAAAAATTCTTGAAGACGCCAGATTTAAGCAACTACCAACTCCGACCTGCAAGTATTTCTTACTTTTACTATTCTGATGCAAATATTGTAAAATTCTAAATTATTTAATTTTGAGAATACAGAGAAATATATTTATTAATATTTGAACAGTTTGTTAATTTTTTTATCAACATATTGGCCCAATATAAAAATAAAAATGTAACATATTAACTTATGTTAATATGTAAAGACATTTAAAAAAACAGACACAAACAACATTGACCAGATCTGAAATGCATCGGCACTAAGGATACATTTCAATCCACCGGGTTACCTTTCCTGCTACTACCAGCTCCACTGGGAGACACCCGTTTTGCAGGGAGGCCCAGCAGCTGTCCAGCTGCACCTTGCAGAAGCTGAGACAGGGAAGAGGTGCAGCAGGAATCGGGCACCTGGGTGCCAGCAGGAGGCAGAGGAACCGGTCTGTGTCATGGTGACACCCCGCCCTCACAAGCCACACCCACTCCCACTCCCACAGGACCTCCTCCATCTCCTCCACAGAAATGTGATTGAAAAAGTTTGGCAGCATGAAAACCTTTGGCTGTTTGCATATCGGCCAATCAGAGGGGACAGGGAAGCAAGGTGAAGTGGAAGTGGCGTCAACACTAGAAATCTCTGAACCGGACCAAAACCGATGCCCTTCCCCAACCTATTGCTCCACCAGCGCCCCTCTCAACCTGCCTTTGTTATCTGTAATGTTGGGCTTTGTTGTCTCCACCGTCCCTGTCAGGCCTCCACTGGTAGTCCAGGCGGTTGTAGTCACATCCCAATCGTCAACAACCTGACGTATTCCTGTTGCCACTTTAAGGATTTCCTCCCCAACCTGCGATATTTTGGTCCCTTCCGTCACCAACGCCCCGCTGGGAGTGGTGGCTCCTTCTGTGGTTGGGCTTCCTGTTGTAGGTTGAGGTTTGTTGGAAAACCACCAAGCCTCCAAACTGCCAGCACAGAGAACCAGGAGAAGTGACCATGTCTGGATCCCCGACATGCTGCTGCTGCTGTTTCCCTTCTGTACAGAGCTCCACTGTTTCCCCTGGACGCCACCTGTTAGCCAGCCGCTCAGCAGTTAAATCCACGCTGATCGGGGCCAACTGAGCATCCGCTGAACGGCAGCCAAACATAAACCGCTCAGAGATCCTCCCAGTGAACAGGGCAAAGGGGGAGACCTGAGATGTGATGACAGAAAGTTTCCCCAACACACTGAAACTCCTCCCTCAATGACTAAACAGCTGGCTCCCACAATCTGCAGAAATAGCTTGAAATATTCAGATTAAATTAATTTATTCAGACCCAAGACTCAGTTTGAAGTATTATTTGTGTTAGTTCTAGACTGGTACGCAAACAGGACAGAGGAAATGCTTGTATCTATAAACCTTCATGTATTTTGTTGGAACTTTATATAATAAGCCTTCAAGAGAAAGACGGTTCTGCAAAAATCTCAAAAGTGTGGCATGTTTTTATATTTTCAATTTGATACTTTTTAATAAAATTCTCCAAAAACAATTGACTGTAGAAGTCACCTAATACTTCTACAGCATTAATAAAACAAGCAGTAAAATGACATGGCATAAGTCTATTAACAGGATAATTGTTAGTTTTAATTTGACATTTGTGACCTTTGTTGAAGAGAAGCAAGAAGAAAAACATAAAAATGTCCATCCATCCCGCAGTTTCAGAGGAAGGCAAGTATAATCAATGTCTTTATGATTGATTTTCAGCTCCTTTTAAATCTCTATTTGGAGGGAGAGTTGGAAATTTGAGAAATGTTGGAGTAGGGGATTCGATCTTTGTCCATCATGATTGATTGAAGAGATAATTTGAACTTCCTCTGGTTTTCTGCATCTCAAAGGTCTACGTAGCTTTTGAGATGCAAATCAAGTGTAAAAACAATACCTTGGTGCCATGGTTATACATCATAACGGCACAGCCGCCAATGCCAGAGGGAATAATTGTCCAAAAATATATACAAATATGCAATGTATTAGTAACATTAGTATTTGTTCATAAAATAATAATTATTGAGTGTTTTCTAAATAAATGTGTGCTTTTTTATGTAGTATTTCTTCTGCCACCAGACTGTGGGAAAAAGCAGGAACATCCTGTGGAAAAATGAGAGACGCAGCTGACAAATTAGATGACTCTGTGAGAAAACTCTCCACGTGTTGCGACAGAAAACAAATGAGCTACAGCCGATGAAAAGTGAATCAGGTTCCATAAGAAATAGGAAGGCATGGTTGAGCTAAACAGCCCTGACATGTGCTTCGCTACTCGTTTTTCCACCAGAACGACGAACGCAGAAGGAATCAGTTTGTGTTGTTCTGGTTGAAATGTGATGAGCAGCACAGCTGGACAGAAACACAGCAGCAGCACGAAGTGATGAATGAGAGACAGCAGCTGACATCTCACTGTGAAAATCCCCAGACTTCCAGGTTCTCACAGATGAGAGGAGGAGGCATCTTCCTCTTCCTCCTCATCGTCATAGGGTCCAAGTCATCTGCCAAAGCGGGACGTCCAGCTGTTCCACATTCCAGCTGCCGGACCTCCCACACCCAAAACTGCTTGGCATATTTGTTTATTCAGACAACGCTGCTGCTGTTAGCAGATGTACGAAACGCTCTCACTGCAAAAACACAAAATCTTACCAAGTTGTTTATATTTGAAATAAGTCAAAACTATTTCAAAAGATATAGAGGCTTGTTTTAGGTGAATAATTCTTCAATATTGATGAAGGTAGATTATTACACTTACAAGACATTTTTTCCATGATAAAAGATAATTTATCTGCCAATGCAACTCATCAAAATAAAGTACTTATTTACTTAAAACAAGCCTTTATATCTTCTTGAAAAGTTACTTTTAAGTTATTTTGTCTTATTTCACATTTACTAACACATTTGCAGTAGAAACCAGACCAAAAATACTTGGGAAGATGTTGTGTTTTCACAGCTGAGACAGAAAGAGAAGACATTTGTAACTGAAAAAGTTTAAATAAACATCTTACTGATGAATTTAATAAAAGTAAATGAATCTTTTGAGAAATTCTATTTAGGTTGTTTGGTTGAAGTGAACTCAAAGCATTCTGGGTAAATGCAACCAAAACAAACGCACAAGTCAAGCGCTAGTGGGAGAAACGGCTTGTGAAACTTTGCCACAGACAAATAACCACTAAAATACATTTTTGCTTAGAAGGAAGTTGTGCTGAGAGTCATCTTCAGAGGTTTTCTGTTGTTTCTATCAGTGGTTCTCATTGCAGCGCCCCCACAGGCGAGGAGGGGAACAGGTTTTCAGAGTTTAGATTTAACTTCAGTGTCAGAAAAAGCAGAAAAAGGCTTTTTTATTTTGTGTATCATTGTATTATCCAGACCTGAATATCAACTGAACAGGAAATGACTTAGAGTTTTGCAGCAATTATCTTAATAAGTCACAGCAGCTTCATTTCCTTTCTCTTTATTCTCCTCCTCTCTGTGAGGCAGAAACACATCAAAAGCATTAGAAACTAATAAAACCACATCACCATCCATTTCTGTCTGATAACATGATCCCAAATGTTGACTCAACGTTCCAGATTTATGACCCAGAACATCACCAAGCACCAGTTCTGATCGCTGTCTGCTGTTGCTCCAGGCCACTAAGCCATAAAAAGTTCAGCTTTTTACTCTCTGCTGTGTTTTTGTCCCCACTATTCATTGTAGAGGGGCAGATGTGTTTCATCAGGAGTGTTTTCTGGTGGACAATAACATCTGAGCATGAGAACTGTGTCTGAAACTTGATATCATGAAGCTGATAAAGCTGAGAAACTGCAGCAGGACCTTTAAAATATTTACATTTCACTTAATGAGGAAGTGTGAAAATGCATAAAACATTATTAATTATTATATGCAAACAATAATTCATATAAAGTCCAAACTACAAGCAGAAAGCAGGACAAACAGATTAAAAATTTTCAGACACGCTGATGCATCCATACACCACAACAACCAGCAGATGGCAGCAAAGATTTAGCTCACTGTTAAAAGCAAAATAAAATAAAAGCACTGGATGAACAGAAAGCTGATTTTAACATTATAGTTTCTATTTGCTATTGAAATTTGGGCAGAAATATTGGTAGAAATGTAGTATTTGGAGATTAAGATATATATATTTTTCTAACAGTAAAATGACGTGCAGTACCGGTTTGTTGACTCTGCAGCTCCTCCAGAGTTACCATTGGGTGCTTCTCTAATTAATCCCCTCCTTTCCTTGCCTCTCAGTTCAGCTAAGTTTCCATTTCATCCACATGGTGCTTTCCCACTATCAGATAACATCATCTTCAACGCCAAGCAGGCAAAATAGAAGAAAGTTTTCCTCAAGGCTACTTGGCAAGAACTCAGAAACAATCTGTAGGATGTTGGCGTGAACAAAAGCAACAAGAGGCTGCAAGACATTTTATTTCCTTCATGCAGCCGCGGGCAACGCATTCACCACCCACTGAAGACAGTCAGCCTTTTGTTTGAGCCGCTGAATGAAGATGTCTGCTTTAGAAAGAGCTCCGTTCTCAGGAAAATAACTTAAAAGTTCTTAAAGAAATGAGTGACAAAGGAAAATGAAAAGCAACTTTGAAGCTTGTTTCAGTGATTAGAATTGAAACGATTATCCGAACTCAGCAGCATTTCAGCTGCAGGAGCTTCAGGCGATGTGAGCGTGAGGCCTCGCTGCTGCTGCAGGTTTAAATAGCTGAGGACTAATTATGACTCCCATGATATTAATGCTGAGTCATAAAACGGAAAAATTACAGACGTGAGAACATTTTAGTTCAGAAAGTTCGTTCTGTAGCAAAAACACTCAGTAAAGTAGCTGTATGATGTTCTTTTAACAAAAATACAAAAAATAAAAAATCCAACTTTCAACATGTTTTTTCAAAATGTTATGGAAGATTTGAGACAGACTTTAGTCATCAAACAAAAGACATATGGAGAATAAAAGAGAAAAAACAGATCTCTGCCTTTTGTCAGTTTCAGTCTTGTCTAAATTAAACTTTTCTGGAATGCTGTAGACACTAAGTGCTTAATAAAATGTATTTAGAGGTTTAAAAAGATGAATTTAGCATGATATGTTATTTTGAAAGTGTTAAGATACAACAAAACACTATTCTTGTTTTGTAATTTCCGCTAAGCCTCTCTCTTTTTGGTGTCCCACCTGGCTCATAATCTTTGCCTGATTTATTTATGAACAAGAAAACAGAAAACAGTTTGAGAGAGAAATGATCTCACTTATTTTGTAGGTAAATCAGCCAGAATGTACAAAAGCTTTAATTTCGCAGGGATTAATATTACTAATCAGAATGTAACAAAATTTATTTTTATATTCGAAAGTATTTTTTCACTGTTTTACTTCTTTGATTGTTTTAGATTGAAACCACACTAATTTCTAATAATTCTCTAAATATTCTAGATTACATTTTGGTTAGAAGCATGCACCAATAAAGCATACAGATTTCAGACAGTTTGAAACATCTGCTAAGTCCAAACATTTAAATCTCTACCCAGGTGTCCCAGCTATTGAATTAAGCTAAATTTAGCATGAAGCCGTATTTCTGATGATTAGATCTGAAGCAGGTGAGAGCAGAAACCACAGCCACCATCGCCACGAGTTCTGCAGCTGGAAAAACAACGTTCCCCCATGAGCTGAGATCAGTGCAGCTGCGTGGACCTTCTCACACACCGTACCTGGAAAGATGAAAGATGTAAAACCAAACATCCTGTCACCCCCTCTGCAGGAGGTCACACCTCTGCTGCAACACTTTAACATCTTGCAGCAGGTAGAAAACATCCCCAGCTGCATTGGGGAGACTTTGAAGTTTCACTGGTTGCAGTCTGCAGAGCTAATCACCTGCAGGAGGCGAACGAAGCTGCATGCGAGACACGCTTGGGATAAAAGTTGTAATTACACAAAAATGGGAGTAAACTGCAGATGGGAAAATCCCTGAGGTGATGTGGAGCACAAGAGACGCTGCGAGTTTGTTTTAAGAGGCCAAACTTTCACTATTTACTCAACCTGTCCAAACGCCGCCGCTGCACATACAAGCATATCTATACATAAAAACTATAAGTTACATCATCTTCTTGAACTTTCCAAATATATATTTTTAATTTAAAAGCAGAAAGAGAGAGCATCAAAACTAAATGTTTGAAAGCCATTAAGCAAATAATCAATAAATCATTGAATCGTGATTTATGACTTTTCTTTCGTTGTTTCAACTTGCCCTTGTTTTGGAAGGACTATTTTGTTCACATAGACTTAATAATTCATTTCATGTTTAGTTTTGTTCATTTATTTTGGATATTTGACATATCTCAATAAAGGTTCATTAGAATGTAAAGTTTATTGATTTTTCAAAATGTGTTATTATGTTATTAGCATAATATTACTTGAAAATGATCTCAAAACAACATTATTGTTTATCACAATAAACAATAACTTCTGGGATCATTTAATTGTGACTGCAAAGAAAAAATTGTTTTTCATTTTTTTCTTTTTTTCTCTTCATTAGAAAAAAAAGTGATTTGAATAATAATAATTTTAAAAAACTCAGTATTGTAGCCAAAAAAAAGTCTATTCTAAACTTTTTGATAATTTTAATATTTTTTTAATTGAAGAAATAATTTATGTTTTTGTAGACTGTGTTGTTCTAGTTTTCACTGCAATACACATTTATAGTAATCTGGCTTTTTAATTTAAAACAAAAAGTAATACATAAAATTATTAATAGATAATTTTAAAAAAAATGTATGCTACTTATTATTAAATCAGTATTTATTGAATCAAACTGATATCAAATTGAATTGTGGCCCAAAGAATCAAAATTAGACTTTAATTGTGCGTTTATTAACTGGAGGTAAGATACTGACTGCTCAAAAACACTGATCTTCAAATAAACAAAAACATTTAAAACTTTATACAACCAGTTAAAATGTGGGATCAAATTATATGAGAAAAAAAAGAAGTAAAATGTGAATAAATTTAATTCTAACCACAGAAATGTCTTCATAAATCTAAGAAAAGGCTTAAAATAACATTCAGTTTACATAAACATCTCATCTAATCTGATCAGGATTGCAGGGTGTGATTAACTTTATAGATTAAACCCAAGCAAACATGTCACAGATGGATTATAATTCATTCATCTGTAGTGCATTTAAAGTTTCTATAACCGATTGTATAACTTCACTCTGTAGAGTCTTCGCTTCCATCATAAAATCTCCCTTCTCTTTATTCTCAGATTTTAAAAGCTCAGAAGATTAGCCAAGAACTTTTCTCCCGTAAATCCAAGATGGAAAATTGGGGTTTCGTGTTCAGGCAGGTAATTGATTCTCTGGTCGGCATAAATAAACTCCTATTTTCAGCTCCAATTATCCCACAAACCCCCCTGTATATTTTTTACACCCTGAATACACACCATGCAGCTTAGAGTTTTATTACTCTCACGTCTGCTTTGATAATATATAAGCTGTAATATTACATGAAACATGGTGTTGGGCCACCCAAGGGAGACATCTTCTGCTCGTTATGAGCTAAAAACTGTAAATCTGGAGTTAAATGGAGCAAAAATAAACAAGAAGGATGCAGAGATCCACTCTGTCGACAGATCCAGATGGTAAATGGCTATTTTATGACTAGAGGTAAAACATTCCCTTATTTGGAGGATTTTAACAATCATGCTTGCATTTATCTTTTTGTATAGATTACATACCTTCACTGAAACTTGTAAATTCAGCAAAAAAACTGCATTTTTATGCAGTGAAATGTTTCTGACTTGATGAGTGAATTCCTGTAAAGTTTGCAAAGCACTTCTACATATTGAGAGGCTTTGTCTCAACATGAACGTGTGGGCATGCCTGAATGTCTGCATAATATTTGTGTATATATATGTGTGTGGGTGTGTGGGTGTGTGTGTGAAGTCTGCAGAAGAGACAAGCTGTCAGGTAAAATTAGGCCATGAAGATGATGAGTGTCTGTTTTACTGGGAGGGTCTGATGAGCCCTGAGAAAGGAAAACCTGAACTTTAAATTTGATTTAAGAAGAGTAAATTCACCTTGTTCTTAAAAATAAAAGCATAATTCTCAGAAAATGTTAATAACGTAACAGAATTACACTAATTCTTCAAGGATTTTTGATTAGTTTAACTTGGTTTTCCTTGAAAAGATCAATAAAATGAAACTGAAAAAGGTGTAGAATGAAAAACTGCACTAAAAAAATGCTAAAACTTTGTCTAAATTTCACACACAAAATGAAAAGGAACAATAAAAGTAGGCATAAAATGATCAGAAAAACATCTATGGTGACAAGAATAAAACACAGATAGAACTGAATACTTAAAAGAAAAAACAACCACAACAACACATAAAATTGTGCTCTAAACATTAACTACTTCTGGCAAAAGTTGGAAATTAACCACAAAAAGACATAATAGCCACAAAAAAACAAACTTTTGGGGTGAAAGGTGCAAAGAAACAATAGTCATTAAACGTTACGAAGTTTAAACTAAAGCAGTGACTTTGCATGGGGGGAAAAAATCTCTTACGCTTTTCTGGAACTCAATTAGCTGGAAGCACAATGAAAAATGTTACAAGCCAAACTATAAAAATTGAGCAAACGTGCAAAAATTAGCCGAGCAATTGAGCAAATACATGTTGAGAAACAAATGATGAAGTTTTGCATGTTTTATCAGGACATTACAGAAGCACAGACAGAGGAAAAAGCTTAAGAAAGAAAAGCAGAAGTAGAAATAAAGTTTTGTCAGCGGTGTCTAATGGATACCAAGGAGACGCTGGAGGCGGGTCGTTTTGGGCAGGAGCTGCCAGGCGATTGGGGAGAGTTGGCATTGCACTTACGTCTAATTGATACCATATTGTTCCAAAGCAACTACAAATACATTAATGCAGATTCACACACACATCATGCTGTGGTGAGTTTTCCAATCTGTTGGCTTGTGTCGGCCTTTATCCATGATTTTTGTTTATTTGCACCGATTGCAGTTTTCTGGCTGATCTTTAAAAAGATTCAGATTTTGGCCGATACCAATTTTTGGCAACAGTTAACTTTAAATGTGCAGACATGAACTGGTGGGCCGGTCAAACCTTCTTACTGGAGAGAAGAAGACCCTGAATGCTCACATCACTAATTAAATGATGGTTATGTCTGTATGTATATATAAATTTAACTGATTAACATTGTAAATAATGTAAATATCACCATATTTATGCTTATATTGTATATTTTTCCTACATTGTTTGCACTGTTAGACATGTGCAGAGTGACAAACATTGAATTCAATTCAATTCATAGTAGCTTGTGGATTCATAGTTAGCTTAATAAATTTATTTTGGGGTATACTAGGTTTGGGGGTTCCAAATTTTCTTTCTAAATTTTATCTAAAGAGTTTTGTCAGGCAGGATCAGGCAAAATAAAATAAAAAAACAGGATATTAAATATACCTAAATGAAATGTATGCAAAGAAATGACATTTTCCCACAGCTACATGTTCATATCCAACAAAAACTCAAGGCAGATAGAAAATGGAATTAAATGTGCCCAAGCAAATACCAATCCATAAAAGGCACAAACACAAAGAGACGCAAAATGACCAAATAAAGATATGAATTCACATCTTAAAACGGATCCTGTAACCACAGAACAGCCTCTAAAAACTCCAAATAGATAACAAACTGCCACATATAGATAAAAAAAGGACTCAAAGTGATGCCGAAAAAAAACAAAATGAACACAGAGGCTAAAATCAACAGAACCTGTCAGGGTTCGATGTGATGCGCCCAGGCAACATCCCTTTGACATAAATCCAACTCAAACACAGCAGGCAGTGTCTCTGACAGCTGAGGAGAAAATTTATCCTTAACTCCCAAAAAGCAAGTCTGGACACTTTCACCAAGCTCAGACACATTCCTGCAGGGAAGCTTCTCTTTGCATCCATGAAACTTATTAAAGAAGCTTAACACATTGGTTTTAATAAGATTTCCTCATTATTTTAGCACCTTCTTCACAATTTCAATGCATTTATATGATTTCAGTGATTAGTTGCCTGTAATGTCCTACAACCCTCTTACCTCTGTGCTGAGATTTTATCTGTGCGACCAGCAGCAGCAGCAGCGCACAGATGCAGGTCTGCCAGCTCGTAATCAACCACCTGCAGCGTCCAGGCATGCTGATTCCTTCACGATTCTCACACAGAAAAATCAAATCACATCAAATCAAATGCTCTCAGATGTTTGGAGGGTCTCTTCTCATCTCAGCCGCAGGAAGCAGAAAAATAAACAGCAGAAAATCCCCCTGCTAACCAGCGCAGGGTCTGTGCGCCTTTACGCACAGCGCGGAGCAGGAGACGCCGTTCTGAAGGCTACACTTCCTGTGGAAGTTTTCAAATTAAAGGTTTTTCTAATCAAAAAAACCTTGACCAGAAAAAGTTTTATGTAATATAAATTACTAAAGCAGAAGAAAAACTTTTCAATGTCTTCAAACTATGCATGAAATATATGTAAAAACGTTAAAGGTCTGATCAAACTCAACTAAAGGACACTCTTAAAGGGACAGTAGAGAAATTAGAGACACATTTACTGTCTTTGAAGTCAAAAAACAAGATATAATTACTAAAAAACAATAAAAATTGACAAGAACAGCTTGAAAAATTAAAACTAAAATGTTGTCTAATAAAAATTAAAATAATTAATATTTTAAATCATTTCTGGAACTTTTACACTTCTAGAACTTTTTGGACATTTGCACATGAAAGTACACTTGATCACCATTGGATTTTTAAGTGCTGAATATCCATCCACCCAAGCTGCAGGATAACCAAGACCCTGGGAATCAAACCCAGGACCTTCTTGCTGCAAGGCAACAATGCTACCAACTGCACCACTGTGCAGCAATTAGAACTGAAAATATTTATTATATATTTTAGTAATATATAGTAAACCATTACTATAAAAGAGTTGTTTTAAACTATTCTTTATTTTGCCAAATTATGGTGATCCTTGGCTCATGATGATTGAACATTGTTGCCCAGGCTACAGCTAAGTGTTAATCAGGCCCTGTTCATAATATGACATAAAAATGAGCAAACATGACTCAGTCTGTCTCTATTCATTCATTAAACAACACAAATCACAAGAAAGTGCAACATATACCTGCTTTACCAGGATACAAACACCTGTCTTGTCATTTTGACTCATTTAAATGTCACAAGATTATCATTTAGAAGAAAAAGTATTTTGGTGGCAAATAAATAATTTTATTTAAACAAACTGTACAGTGTATTTACAGTTAGTGATTTTATTTTGCCTTTTTTCCTACTAAAAATACATTTTAGTTGTAACAAGTGGAGTACTGTCCTCTAGTGGTGATGCAGTGAATTCAGCTGCCACACACTGCCACATCCATGCTGAAAAAAGTTTTTTTATAGATTTAAATCTTCACATGAAGTTTGAAAGCATGTTTGATTGTCTCTTTAGTATCTCCATTTCTTGTTTATGATGGCACAGTTTAATAATTAGAGTAAAACTCCATCAAAGGTCATCAAACACATTATGTAGGAATTCAAGTTTATCTCAGTTCATTTGCCATCATTTCCCAATCTAAAGTAAAAAAGCTAAACTAAACTGAAAAAAACTAAATCCAATTCAGCAGCACCACATTAGGAACTAGAGTCTCAAACTGGTCATTGTCTTGATTTCTCATCAACATCCGAACCGTAAGTTTGGATGGAAAAGAGGAAGCATATGCAAAAAAGAGATGAATATACAGAATAATAAAGCCAGAGTCTCTCCAACAGTAAAACACACATGAAAAATTAAGGTTCGCAGAAGATATACTGATATAGCCAACGCATGATAAATTGGTCCAAATCTGGAAGGGATAAAACTTAATAAAGAAAAAAATCTCATAAGTTATTGCTGTTGAACATGATTAGAGTCTGTGGTATCTTCCGAGTTCATTCCTTTCCTGATCCAAATCTCAGACATACTGTCCACCAAGCCTGTCACTGTCACTTCTGTCACTCAGATTCCACATTTGAAATGTCAGCTTATTCAATAAATGTAAGTCCAACAGCATTAAGGAAATTCACATCTTCCCAGAGAGCAGCAGCTCACAGCTGATGCACACAGATGAAGAGTTTCAGCTTTCTGCAGAATCTGTGTCATGCGTATCTTCCCTTGTTGACTTTGGTAGTGAAGTCTCTGTTTGTAGAGTGTCTGCAGAAAAACAGAAGAATTAACACACATAAATGAGTGCAACACTGCAGTTCAACAAATAAATATAATAATTACAATAATAGATTAGAAAACATATAATCTGCTCTCTGTCAGCCAGAAATGACAGAACGTTCAGTCTAATAGAAATAATTTGACTTATCCATAAACTCACCAGGTCCTTCAGCAGTCGGTTCGGTTTCCTCAGATTCGGATTTCTGTCCTGATTCTCCTTCGTTGTCACTGTCTTGTTCTACTGGTGGATCCTGCTGCTGCTGCTCTATTGAAACTATCAATGCATTGTTACCTTTCACTTCACTCTGATTAATCAAAATTTGGCTTTTCTGATAAAAAAAAAATTTAACATTATATTTAAAAAACTCAGTTTAACCTCACATTAGATTAATACACAGGAGTCAGTGAAGATATGAGTAAATTTAGCTGGAACAGATTATAAATTTATATTTTTATCTCAGCCTAAAGAGTGAAAATCAGGACATGATCCTAATTCAGGCAGTAACTGTGACAGTTTAGATGCTAATAAAGTGGTTAGCATCTAAAGTGTTAGGAGTTCTATAAATATTTTACCTCCGGTTTGTCACTAACTAATGTTTGACCTGCTGTGCAGCATGTCTGGGTTGGTGATTGTTAGCATTTGCATAAACCATCTGAACTCCTCTGGATATAAAGACATTACACTGACGTGGATAAATTGACTTTTTCTCATGTGGTTATAAACTTTCTCTCTAAATAAAGTACAAACAAAACAAACATCTTACCAGGTCCTTCAGCAGGCGGTTCGGTTTCCTCAGATTCGGATTTCTGTCCTGATTCTCCTTCCTTGTCACTGACTTGTTCTGCTGGTGGATCCTGCTGCTGTTGCTCTATTGAAACAATCAATGCATTGTTACCTTTCACTTCACTCTGATTAATCAAAATCTCAGGACATTCAAACAACAAAAAGTCACTTACCAGCTGTCTGATCAATATTGTTCATTTCTGTCAATAAGAAACAAACTATGAGTGACACACATCCAAACCATATGTGGTTATATAATATTTATGATAAATTTGCACCAAATTTTATAATCCAACATCTTTTTCTCTTTCTCAAGCTGTGTTGTCTTTAGGATCGGCTGCTGGAAATGAATTTGCTTCAGATCCAGTTTAAACTGTTTTTTGCTGAGCTTCATGCTCTGCATCAATCCTTTGTGTCTAGGAGTTTTTAATCAGTCTGCTTGTATTAAAATATGAAGAAATGAGGAACTACTCTAAACCTTTTCACGTTACTCTGAGTGAAATAATTTTATCAAGTTTTACTCACCATCTCCGTTCACGTTAGCTCTATTGAACGCTTCTTCACCCGTTGAATTATCCTCTGTAAAATTGGAAAAAGTAAATTTTGTTTGTCTTAATATAAAAAAACATGCAATGCAGAGACATAAAAACACAATATTGTGAAAAAGTTTAATATTTTTGTTTTCAAAGTTGAACTTATGTATAAATATCCAGCTACGAGTGAATAAAGATTTTAAAAAGTGCAAATATCCATGTTGTTAAATTTTCACATGGGTGTTTATGTTAAACCAGGGGTGTCCAAACTGCAGCCCATGGGCCATTTGTGACCCTTGAACTGATTTTGAGTGGCCCCCAGCTCCGTTTCAAGAAAGATCTAAATTTGTTTATCAGTTTTTTATTTTTAATCAGTGTAGAATTAACATTTATCATTTTCTTGCAATGGAAAATGTTAAGTACAGCACAAAGCATTCATCTTTTCAAAGCAAACTTTTATTATAAGTAGAATTTTATTTATTCAGAAAATTTTACCGAAAAGCCGACTTTACTGTACCCAAATCAGCTTTTGTGTTTTTTACTTAATTTGACTCAATATATTAAGCTTTTTGAAAGGAAGTGACACAGAATCTTGACCTGATAATAAGCTTGTTGAAAACTAGAAATATGCAAGTTTATATTAAAAAATTAATACTTTATCTGCTTGATTTTCAAGTTTTTTTGGTTGTTCTTTTGTTGTTTTTTTCACCCACATGACAAAACATTTGGACATCACTGGTTTAAATTGGCTTGAGCAAAAATATGGATTTATAATATTTTTATATGTTAAGTCATTTTATATTAGATTTTTTTCAATTCCTCAAAGAAATGGGAGCAAATTGTGTATTTTTGGGAACAAAGTGTCTAAATATAAACTGTTAAGTCTGTGTCAATGACTGACTGGCTCCTTTAATTCATAATGACTGAAAAATCAAATCATTGTGATTTTTGCACATTTATTTGAGTCTAACTCACCAGTTTGACAGCTGGGCTCTGGACTCACAGCAGATAGGTCCAGATTGGATTCTTGACTGGACCCTGAAATATAAAAATTACATTTTGTGAATGAAAAACGTGAGTTTACAGATTTTAATACAGTAATTAAAGTTAATCTTCTCACCAGGTTCAGGTTGAGAGTCAACAGGTAGATCACAGGTTGGGTCATTCAGCTTTTCTGATAAAATATGTTAACATTATATTTAAAAATCTCAGTTTAACCTCATATTAGATTAATACACAGGAGTCAGTGAAGATATGTGAGTAAATTTAGCTGGAACAGATTATAAATTTATATTTTTATCTCAGCCTGAAGAGTGAAAATCAGGACATGATCCTAATTCAGGCAGTAACTGTGACAGTTTAGATGCTAATAAAGTGGTTAGCATCTAAAGTGTTAGGAGTTCTATAAATATTTTACCTCCAGTTTGTCACTAACTAATGTTTGACCTGCTGTGCAGCATGTCTGGGTTGGTGATTGTTAGCATTTGCATAAACCATCTGAACTCCTCTGGATATAAAGACATTATACTGACGTGGATAAATTGACTTTTTCTCATGTGGTTATAAACTTTCTCTCTAAATAAAGTAACAAACAAAACAAACATCTTACCAGGTCCTTCAGCAGTCGGTTCGGTTTCCTCAGATTCGGATTTCTGTCCTGATTCTCCTTCCTTGTCACTGACTTGTTCTGCTGGTGGATCCTGCTGCTGTTGCTCTATTGAAACAATCAATGCATTGTTACCTTTCACTTCACTCTGATTAATTAAATCTCAGGACATTCAAACAACAAAAAGTCACTTACCAGCTGTCTGATCAATATTGTTCATTTCTGTCAATAAGAAACAAACTATGAGTGACACACATCCAAACCATATGTGGTTATATAATATTTATGATAAATTTGCACCAAATTTTATAATCCGACATCTTTTTCTCTTTCTCAAGCTGTGTTGTCTTTAGGATCGGCTGCTGGAAATGAATTTGCTTCAGATCCAGTTTAAACTGTTTTTTGCTGAGCTTCATGCTCTGCATCAATTCTTTGTGTCTAGGAGTTTTTAATCAGTCTGCTTGTATTAAAATATGAAGAAATGAGGAACTACTCTAAACCTTTTCACGTTACTCTGAGTGAAATAATTTTATCAAGTTTTACTCACCATCTCCGTTCACGTTAGCTCTATTGAACGCTTCTTCACCCGTTGAATTATCCTCTGTAAAATTGGAAAAAGTAAATTTTGTTTGTCTTAATATCAAAAAACATGCAATGCAGAAACATAAGAACACGACAATATTGTGAAAAAGTTTAATTTTTTTGTTCTCAAAGATGAACTTCTGTATAAATATCCAGCTACGAGTGAATAAAGATTTTAAAAAGTGCAATATCCATGTTGTTAAATTTTCACACAGACAATAGGTCTTTGTGTTAAACCAGGGGTGTCCAAACTGCGGCCCACAGGCCATTTGTGGCCCTTGAACTGGTTTTGTGTGGTCTCCAGCTCCATTTCAAGAAAGATCTAAATTTGATGATCAAAGTTTTTTATTTTTAATCAGTTTAGAATTAACATATATCATTTTCTTGCAATGGAAAATGTTAAGTACAGCACAAAGCATTCATCTTTTCAAAGCAAACTTTCTATAGATATTTTACCTCTGGTTTGTCACTAACTAATGTTTGACTTTTAACCTTTGTTACATACCAGACTGAATCATTTCATCTTCTAGCATTATTTATCACAAAATTACAAAGTTAAACAGATGTAGCTCTTTGTAGCGGCTGCTTTTACAATGGAAATATGGGTGGTCAACCAGGGCGGCATTGGGGAGTGGAGTGGGCGCACAAGAACCACATAGAAATAATTTGACTCATTCATAAACTGTGTTCTGAACTCATTTTCTGTTGCTTTTATGCATCAATGGGGAGATGGCACACCAAGAGTTAAAAAGCTGAGTTTCTCCAGGTCATTTTGGTGTGCAGGATATCTGGGTTGGTGATTGTTAGCAATTGCATAAACTCCTCTGGATATAAAGACATTACACTGACGTGGATAAATTGACTTTTTTCCACATGGCTATAAACTTTCTCTCTAAATAAAGTAACAAACAAAACAAACATCTTACCAGGTCCTTCAGCAGTCGGTTCGGTTTCCTCAGGTTTGGATTTCTGTCCTGATTCTCCTTCCTTGTCACTGTCTTGTTCTGCTGGTGAATCCTGCTGCTGCTGCTCTATTGAAACTATCAATGCATTGTTACCTTTCACTTCACTCTGATTTATCAAAATCTCAGGACATTCAAACAACAAAAAAGTACTTACCAACTGTCTGATGGATATTGTTCATTACTGTCAATAAGAAAAACTATGAGTGACACACATCCAAACCAAATGTGGTTATATGATGATGATAATAATAATTAGAATAATATTAGTAATAATTGAACATTTTATCTTACAATATTAACATCTGTGATAAATTTGCACCAAATTTTAAAATCCAACATCTTTCTCTTTCTCAAGCTGCGTTGTCTTTAGGATCGGCTGCAGGAAATGAATTTGCTTCAGATCCAGTTTAAACTGGTTTTTGCTGAGCTTCATGCTCTGCATCAATTCTTTGTGTCTAGGAGTTTTTAATCAGTCTGCTTGTATTAAAATATGAAGAAATGAGGGACTACTCTAAACCTTTTCACGTTACTCTGAGTAAAATAATCTTATCAAGTTTTACTCACCATCGTTGTTTACAGGCTGATATCCATTGAGCGCTGCTTTACCCTTGGACTTATTCTCTGTAAAATTGGAAAAAGTTAATTATGTTTGTCTTAATAAACAAAAACAAAACATATGCAATGCAGAGACATAAAAATATGACAATATTGTGAAAAAGTTGACTATTTTTACTCATTCATCTCAAAGTTAAACTAAAATAAACAATAACGATGTATTAAAAATGATTTTAACAAATAAATGTATTCCTACTTAAAAGCATGTTTATGTGTTTTACAGATTATTGTCAGGGTTCCTTTTGCATCATATCTGACAAGACGGCTCTGGACCACTAAACATCAACTCATTCGCTTCACAATTCCTGAAAGTTTTTCCTTCCACTTAATTTTCCATCACTATGCTTGGATAAATCTCTATGAACAGCCACTTTCTTTAAAAACGAGCAAAAGGAGAAAAAAAGTAGCATATTTACCATCTGTGGTTTGAGGAACTTTGAGCAAATTTTGTCCTGTAAAATAAAACACAAACTATTAATTCCACAGATATTAAAACATCATAATTATTTCTGTTGAAATATGACTGGAAATTAGATATTTAGAAAATGCCTAAAGTGAGGAATTATTTTTGTAAACAGCGGAGAGAGGATTCACTAACTTACCTTCTTCAAGTGCAGTATCATCTTGAGCTATTAGAAAAAATAATAAATGTTAATTGTCTATGTGTTGCAGTAATTCATATCAAATAAGATTATATAGATTCATTTTGACAAAAAAAACAAAAAAAACAATGCAAATTATTTTAATACAGGAATGTCTTCAATTCAATTCTTGGTCAGACTTACCACTTCCAGGTGCAGCATTATTTTTATCTGTTAGAGAAAAAGATAATAAATGTTATGGAGTTGTTCTCCATTTATTCTACCTCTTATATTCTGGTATAAATCTCATGGGATTATCCAGATATCTAACTATTCAGGAAGGAGATGAATTGACCCAGAAATTGTGGTAAATACTGAAGCAATCAAGAAGTTAAAGCCTGAAAACAAATGAGTCTTTCATATAAATTAGTTGTGTCTTAAGGAAAACAAGGTAAATGTTATGGAGTAACCATCACAGAACTTTAAAATGTCATAAAGGTAAATAAAAGAAATGGCCTACTATTTATTTATTACATTGAACTAATTGACATGTAACAGGAATGATTTGGTCTGATTTATTGTCAGGCAGTGAGAAAAACATGATTCTGCTTCCGTTTACAGACTAAGTAAATATGTGGCTTTAACTGTACGTTTCCAATAAAATACATTGAAGGATGAAGTGAAGTGACAAAATGCTGAACAAAGAATCATTTTTCCTTATTTACTCGTTACTTCTGGCTTAAATTGTGCTAAACCATCAAGATTAATTAGATGTGAAAAATAAACTTTTAGAAAACCTTTAACTTACTCTTTGAAATATACTTGAAAGGCCCTGTATTAAAGAGAAATACATTTATTAGACTTTCACAATTAGTCATATGTGCATTATGCCACATTTAGAACAGATTTAATAACTTACACATTTCCCTCACTCTGGGATCTGAAATTGTTATGGAAAAAAAGACATTAGTGTTAAATATTTAACGTTTGCCATTTATTTCAGGCTTAAACACAGTTGATAAGCAGCATAATTCCACTGTTATTTCTCGGGTTGATGTAAACAAACTAAAACCTGCTGGTTGATAGTTGAATAAGGTGAAAAAGATAAACAAACTTTTTTACATCAGGAAGTTCATCAATGATGATTTCCTGAGCAACAGATCAGCAACATAACAAATTCTAGTCTTATTTATTATCTTTTCGAACATCTTTCAACAGGTTTTGATGTTTGTAATGCTCCTGTGAATTTGGTGTGTTAAACTCTAGCTTTTCAGGAAGTGTGTTTAATTATCTGTTGTGCAGTTTCACTATTTAGTGTGAGGAAATGTCTTTATCTGTTGTATTTCTCTCTCAGAAAAAGAGATGTATATTTTTGATTCTTCTATACACTTGGGACGTAGAAATTAACAATAAAGTTGATGTTGACTTCTATTATGACAGCCTTATGCCAGAAACTCCAAGAAACTCTCCCTCCTGATGACCGATTAACTAACAAACACTCTGTTGTCAAATATCTCCTTGTTTTTGTGCAAAGGGTGTGTAAAAGCCTAAATTCAGTTTTGCAGATTTGCATATCCTATTGCAGTTAATGATTTGGGGTGTGGTTAAAGACAGGGAGTTGGGCAGTTGGAGGAGCCACACAGTTTTTTGACCTCGCTTTTTCTTTCTTATTTACTCTTTATAAGTGTGGAATGTAACATTTTGTACTGTTTTATTTCTAAAGTAAACAGTTTAACGTATGAAGAGGATTCAGTCTGTTTTTCGTCTTTTGTTTTTTTGTTATCAAGTGAGATGAAGGGGAAAGACGGAGAGCGTCAAGCTTATGGCTTAATTAATTAGGAACCTATAGGGAGGAAGAAATGTAACATGATGAGACATTATATTAATTCAGGACAGTAACTTGAATATTTAACGTATTCTTACATCTTTTATACATCACCCAGGCAGCAATTCCAAGCGCAATCAAGAGGAGCAAAACAACCACCACCCCAATAGCCACTCCTGCAGTACTATTCCCTGAAATAAAAAAGAATGAATTATTAAAACTAAATTATTCATAGTTCACCAGAAATACAGACCATCATCTAGTGCTCTTGGCATTAACATTGTACAACATTGTACTTTAGCTTTTTTTTTGCTTTTGTGTGACAGAAAATTCATAATGCGCACAGCATCCCAACCAAGGTGGTGGCACCATCATGCTAAGGGGAAGCTTTTCTTCACTGATGAAAAGCTTCCCCAGAGAAACTGGTCAGAGTTAAAGGGGAATTGGAGACTTGTGACCATGGAGACATTCCCCTTTAACTAGGACAACAATCTTATGATTATTGGGCATTTGTTGTATTTGAGTTATTTTGTACTCTGTTTTCTTCAAGTTTTTTTTTTTCTCAGACTATTTTGTCAGGCCTACAACTGCTAGTATCAGTCACATCCCATTCTTATCTTCAATGTGAACTCTGCACATTGTGTTCACATTGAACTCAATGTGACCCTACCTAACATTGTCCATTGCTTGGTAACAGACAATGCCTGCTAATTTGTGACGTGACATTTGAAGGTTTTTGAAACAGCAAAAAACAGCTGGATGATTTTTATAAGCACTTGGGCTGTTTTTAGAATCAGTTGAGACCCAAATTGAAGCACAAAAATGTGCAAAAGGAGAATTTTGCATAATACATTCCCTTTAAGAGTCAAGTTAGTTTGGAAAAGTTTATTACCTTGATCATAGAGTTGTAGTGATACTAAAACTTATCAAGATATTAAGTATCTTGACTCTACTGCTCATTTATAATCTGTTGGATTTATTCAGGTTATGTTCAAGTTGTTCTTTGATTTGAATAATTTAAATCTGTTTAGGGAAAATACAAAACACTGCATTGAAAAAAAAATCCCAATAAATCACAGTGAATTTTGTGGTTCTAATGTGACAGAATGTCAAAAAGTGAATAAGAATGTTTTGGCAAGAGAACGGATGGAGAGAAATATTTGTAACTCACCTCTGCTAATAGGGTCAGAGATCTCATCACTGGTCGAGTTGCTAACAGGGTTTAGCAGCATACAGTAGTAGGAGCTCTCCTCATTTTTCTAAGCAAAAGGAAAACAACTCTTCACAAGTTCTTACAGCATTTCTATGAAGAGGTTCGGCTCCATCTTAATACATACCGCTGTTATGTTCAGCTCCTTGTCAATGGACAACTCTGTGTCTCCTGATTTCCATGTATAAGTGACAGGTCCAAACTCAGCATTAATGTTGGCTTCACAGATGAGATTACAGACGGTTTTTTCACTGTTGCAGTTCATGGACACTGTGGGTTTTGGGACCGGTTCTGACAGAAACACCAACAGATTCACATCAATTGGATTCACATTACAACCAACAAACCTGAGTCAAACCTGATGAACTCACTGATAACTTGAAGTTCCATCGTTCTGCCAACCAGGTTGTTCATCTCAGGTGTGTATTCGCCACTGTCCTCTGAGGTCAGATCTGTGATGCTGAAACTTCCAGTTTGTTTGTTCAAATCACATCGACCTGAAGGAAAAATACAAATAAAGACATCATGCATGAATGAATCTGTGATTTATGGCTCAATCACAAGTGAACTTACCCTGAAAGGTTCTGTAGCAAGTGATTCCATTTCCGAACCACTCCAAGGCGAGGTCCGTTTTGTGCTTCCAGGTTACACTAGTGATGGGACCAGACGTACGACCCGGATGCAGGACAACTGAGCCACCAAATGTTTTGTAAATTGGAACAGCTGTGGATGAAAAACAAAAAATGTTTTACTTCTGAGCAGCTTCAAAATGTTGATCCCTTTCTATCGTCCCTGCTTTCAAGATCTAATCTACTTTTGTTTTTTCTTTTCACTCCTAAACTAAGATACTCTGTAAATATGATCAATAACATCATTTACTAATTTTATTTACACTACTTTTAAAACAGCCAAAAATACATGAAATACTTCCTGAAAGTTTGTAAAACCAAACACATTTCATATGTAAAATGAAACAAATGTGCTGTACCTTACTAAAGTTATACAATAGAGACATTGTTTAAAAATATTCTAACATATATCATTTTACATTTATCTTTTTGTTCATTATTTGTTTAGAAAATTACAATTTAAAAGGTTTAACATATTTGAGTTTTTAGGATAGAATCACTACTTTCAGTTTGTAACACAATCAAAAATAATGACTTGTAAGGAAAATCACACATTTTAAGAAAACTGTTCTGGTTCTCTGTTAAATGTGTGTTCAGTCTGATCTTAAACAGGTCAGACTTCAGTTTGTTACCATATAAATTTAAGATGCTTAGATTTCCTAAAATCATATCCACAATACCTGTTTAGAGGTAAAATGGAGGAGAGAAATCAAGAGGCCTTACAAACTGCGCCTCTTTCAGGTGAAAGAGCAAGAAACCCGGAAATACTCAAAAAATGAAAAAAATAGCAAAATTTAGAAGATCGACGCCGATATTTCATATTTTAAATTTTAGTAATTGTCAGTAAATCATTTTTTTACCCTTTATAAAGTACATTTACGATTTTAGGTTATTAACAAAAATGCCACTAAAAGTCGCGTAATTTCGCCTTTACACTGCGCTGTGCTGAAGAAGCTGAAAAAGAACCAAATAAAACAAGATATTCATGTTTTTACTCACCAAAGCCAAAGTCCGACGTGAAAATGACTACGAGGCCAAAGAGAAAACCCCGAAAAACAAACATGATCATAACAAGAAAAATACAGAGACAAAACACACAACTTCCACTAATAACACTGATGATGAGCGTCAGCAGCAGATTAAGTTTAGTGTACAGATAAATAATTCAGTTAAAAAGAAAAATTCATCGAGTAGAATAGAACCGAAGAATGCAGGAGCTCATTCAAAAATGAAAGCGAAACGATGGAAAATTATGACGCAGATGAAACATGTAAAGGTGAACTGCGGCGATGTTTAAGTTACATAATAAAACACACAAATGAATTTCAGATTGGAAAATTAACATTTTAGAAAATACATTTGAAAAAAATCTGACACATCAATCACAGTTTTATATATGTGTGTGTATATAAACATTCAATAGTTTTGTTTTTCAGCTTTTTGTCCAAAACATCAGGACAAGATGTTGATTTTATCCCACTGAACCTCCTTAAAGTTTATCCCTTGATGAACAATTGAGTTAAGGATTAATAAAAAAAATCTTTCCATCAAGCAGCGACACCAACAGCAGCGTAATGTTTACGACACTTGTTTATTTGTAACCATGACAACGTAACATTACCTTACTTACGTGCATGCTCAAGTAACCACACTTGTCTTAACTAGAAGCAGCATAAATACCTCACACATCTTAAAGTCTAAAATGAAAAAATCAAAATAACACAAATAAAATAATTATAAAAGAACACATTTAGGTAGAAGAAATGTTTGACCCAAGTTCAAAAAGACAATTACCGACCAAATGTATGGAAACTTATTGAAAAAGTTCTAACAATTGCCCGGGAAAATGATGTTTTCTGGCATTTAATAAATCTAACTTGTGGTGGTACTCTAAACTTTATCTTGAATTAACCTCAGACATAAAAACATGTGGCAGTGTCTCTTTTGTTCAGTGCAAATATTCAACTTTTATATTATATAAAAGTCTATAGATGAACTTTCAGGATTATGTCTGGTGTTTATTATATCTTCTCCATTTCCAAATAGCTCAGCAATTTAAAATTAGCATTACAGATGATAAAGCTTGTGTATAAATAAGAGGTCTCACTTTGACATAAATTTTGTGTCTGGTAGAATGTGGTTAGAACTTGTTCTACATTCAAATTACTTGTTGTTTGAGTGAAATGAAATTTCACCCAAGTAGAATGAAGTAAGAGAACTTCATAACACTGTTACTCATTTAAAAATAAAAAGTGTGGCGCAGTAAAACAATTTTTAAGTTATTTTCCTGTTAAAGTTACTCAAGTAGATACAATTAAGTGCATGGAACCATTTTCTGCCCAGCTCTGGTGAACAGATTCTCCAACCAGAGCTGTGGATCTCTGCAGCTCCTCCAGAGTTAAAATAGGTCTCTTGGATTTTTTTCTGGTTAATAATCTTCAGTGCATAGTGAAATCGCATCACTATGCACTGGAGATTTCTATGTTGATGGCATGTGATCACGCTGCAGTAACTGTCCAGAGTGAGAAGGTTTTACACCCAAACATGGTGCTGTGTGGCACAAACGCCCACCAAGCTGTACAGTTGTTACCCTGTTCAACCCGAAGAGGGCAGCACTCATACCGTTTTAGGCCTAACATTACAGAATTAAACACAAATATGTGACAATTTTTACAGAAACATAAAGACCAACTTAGAGAGTTTATGAGCAGAAAAGGTTGATTTGGGGTGTAACAAATGATTGATCTAAAATACTTTGCTTTCAAAATCCCCCAAAAATCTATGTAGTTTGTTGTGAGGTGGCAAAAGAAATAGGTCAAGCGGTGCTTTGCTTGACTCGATACATCTGTAATGAATTTACAAGTCTCTATGAAGTCGGAATTCCCGTAGCTCCGGAGTTAGGTTCCTGTACTCCGGATGGTTCTGCACCCACCGTTCTTCATCATCTTGGAGATAAATTTCTCGTGCAGAGCTGAACTTCCTTACTGGAGATGGGCTTGGTCTGTGACCACACCACAAACAAAAGAGAAAGATATTGCAAGTAAATGTTTTGTTTTGTAGAGAGCTGTTCACTGCAGTTTGGTTTTTCTCTTATTAAATAGTTTTATGGACATGTAAAGATTTTTAAAAATTCCAAAACAAAAGTCTCCATCAAACAGTTGTAGTTTCTAAATGATTCTCCACAATCTGCAGCTTCTCTTTTATAATTCAAGGTTTTCTTCCTCTACTTACTGCATGTACATTTGGCACAGAGGTTAAAGTTCAAGCTACATTGGTAGAGGTTTTTATAGAAGATCTGTTAACTCACCCACTTTCAAAACTTTCCAAACTTACTCCTGCAACAGAGATAAAAATGTGAGTTCAGCTACGTTTCTTTTACGGGCTGATATCTGACTGAATTGAAATGTGAAGTTATATTATTTCAAATTGATCTATTTCCATAAAAAACATAAGTTCTCCATTAGTGGAACAATTTATCTCATCTCACAGATTTCTTTCATGGTAAAAAAAAAAAATCAGTCATTGCTGAAAAATAGTTTCAGCAACAACTTGGCAATTTCATGGAAATAAGAGCTACAAAGGTCAACTCAATTGGCCGTATGCCAACTATTAGAAGATTTAGCTGACATGACTGGTAAATAGGAGTATGCTGTGGGAGTACATCATGTTCTAAAATTATTATGCAAGTTATATTTTCTCAGATTTTCTTAAACGGTCAATGCAAATGATGGTCAGTATAATTTTCAAGTCATGAACTATGAAATTTTACTGAACAAAGCTCTCTCTGAGAACAGTATTTTAATCAAAGAAAGAAAACAAAAATGCAAAAAGCACTGTTCCAAATTATTATGTACAACAGATTTTCTGAATATTTTATGGGTTATAAAGAATTAAAACGGTAATTCTTTGAATGTGCAGCATTAAATGGTCACATGTACTAAAATCAAAAGCTATTTCAATCAAAGACATCTTAACAGACAGTTAGTTACATGTTAACATATCACACCTGCACAATTCTTGCATCCATTGAACTTGTTAGTTTGTGGATAGTTTCTGCTTGAATGTCTTTGCAGGATGTCAGAATACCTTCCCAGAGCTGCTGTTTTGATATGAGCTGCATCCCACCCTCAGATCTTCTGCTTGAGGAAACTCCAAAGGTTCTCAATAGATTGAGGTCAGAGGTCAGAGGAGGATGGTGACCACACCATGAGTCTATCCCCTTTTATGCCCATAATAGCCAATAATGCAGTGGGATTCCTTTCAGCATGAGATGGTGCACTGTCTTTAATCTTTAAGACACTTAAATCCAATTTGCATCATAATTTGGAACATGGTGTAAACAAAGCATTTGACTCTGCAAGTCACTGATTACTGCAACAGTAATCAATTGAGTAAATTGGAGAAATATGGTATTATGTTGGTTGAGGCTGCTCTAGAGGAGAACAAGGAAATCTGTCTACTTTCGATTAAAGTGCAAAGAGATGAGGAATGAATCCAGACTTTAAATGATCTAATCTTACCATTATTCCTCAAGGCTTTCAGGCTCAAAGCAGACCGCTTGACATGGACTTCTTCAACAGTCTGTACTTGTTTTTCATCTGTAAAAAAGAAAAGAAAAATTTTTTTTTATGGCCACCGTGGTTCTTTAATTACAGTAAGTAAAGATGATTGTTATAAAGTTGTTAGAATACAGCTGAGTTTGTTTAGACTAATGTTATAAAAGTCTTGCAAAGGCGATATTATCTAAAATCATTAAATCATTAGAATGATCCAGTATTAAAAACAGGAACAAGTGTAACATAATGACATGCTAAAGTAACACAGGACAACAACTGCTTCATGTTTTAGTGAACTCTTACCATTCCTCTGCCTCATATAGCTACCAACTGCAACCAGAAACAGGACCAGAACCACAATTGGTACAGCCACTCCTGCAGGATGAATTCCTGAAATTAGAGCGTTAATTATTGAAACTAAATCATTCAGTTACAGAGTGTAACTGGTGAACCTGAACCAGCGCTATTAGTACTAACATGCATGCTTAATCAATTTTGACTTGGGGCAATAAATTCATAATAAATTCATAATTTGGACACCATCAGAACCATCAGAATTAAAAGCACAACGCAATTGTCAAATGACAAAGAGTATCCAATCCAATCTGGTCTCATGTACAAGAAGTATTAAGAAGTGTTATTAAATCATGAATAAAATGAGCAACAATGTTTCAGCGTTCAGTTTTAATATCCACAACTGATTACAAACAGACCTTTTAAAGAGGACACATAGAAATATTTGCAGCAGCTTACCTTGAGGGACAATGGGGTTAGGGACCTCATCACTGGACGAGTTGCTAACGTGGTTTTGCAACTTGCAGACAAAGGAGCGCTCCATGTTATTCTAAGAAGTAAATGAAGCATCATGGATTCATCCTGAGTTCTTAAAATCGTTTCTGCATCTTAAAACATACCCTTGTTAAGCTAATCTTCATGTTAGTGGACAGCAGTTTGTCTCCTGCTTCCCATCTATACATGACGGGTCCAAAATGAGAAGTGATGTTGGCTTCACAGGTGAGGTCACAAACGGACATACCGTTGTTGCATTCTGCAGACACTGTGGGTTTTGGGACCGGTTCTGACCGAAACACCATAGGATTAGCATCCACTGGACTTATATTAAACCAACAACACTCAGTCAAACCTGCTGAACTCACTTATAACCCAGAGCTCTGTCACATCAAGAATCTTGTTGTCAATCTCAGGGTTGTACTTGCCGGTGTCCTCTACTGTTAGATGTTTAATGAGCAAACTTCCAGTTGGTTTGTCCAAACGACAGCGACCTGGAGGCAGGATCCAAATACAGGCATCAGGCATAAATGAATCTGCAGGGTTTCGGGTTTTACGATGAGTCAATCACACGGGAACTTACCAATAAAATCTCCTAAACAAACTGCATCACCTCCAGACCTCCACTGCATGATGGCGTTCATGTTGTGCATCCAGGTTATGGTTGACATGGACTCAAAGGTCTGACTTGGATGCAGGATAACTGAGTCACCAATTTTTGCGTAGATCAGACGAGCTGTGAATGAAAAACAAAAACATTTGTATTACTTTCTGTAAACTTTTTCCTGTTCATTAGCAGCTTTCATGTTTTGATCATTTCTATGTTTAATTTTTTCTTTAATCTCATAAAAAAAGTCAATTAGCACATATGATCATAAAAACTCTTATAGCCTGATCTCCAGATTAACAAATGTGCATTCTTGTTATTATTTTAGTAATTTATTTTTTTTTAGTCATATTTCACTTAAAATATTTCATTATAATATTTTGGATGGAGGAGCTGTCAGCATACAAGTAGTAATAATAAAGTATATTCTTTCTGTAATTATGTCACTTCTTTGTCTACTAAGCAAAAATGCAACCAAATAAAACAATAAAATCACTGTTTACTCACAACAGTCACTGTCCTGCATGAAGTAAAGGAGGAGCACAGCAGAAACAGTCCAGAAAGCAGACATGATCCTAACATGAAAAATACCGAGACCAAAAAAACACAACGTCGACTAATAATACTGGTGATGAGTGTCAGCAGCAGATGAAATGTTTAAGCTGTGTGGAGAAAGAAATAATGAAGTTAGTAGAAAGGCAGTGTGAAAAATATGTGAAGCTAACTTCTGTTTTTCTCCACAGATTTTTGGAGATGATTCAGAAAAATATTTCAAAAATGAAACATCAGACATATTCATCACGTAATTCAAGTGTTTAATTCTGCTTGGCTTGACGATTGCTTTGGTTCTATCAACTCCGACTGCTAATTGAACACAAATCAACTTCTACTTTCTAAAAAGCTAAAAAACAGGAAAACAGTCCAAATAAAACTGATGCATCCTTCAATCATACATAATAAAAGGATGAGTATTAATAAAAAAAACATTTCTTCAGATGTAAGAGTGAAAAATAATAATGAACGACGAACCAGCTTCAAATAAATGACTCAAGTTGCTCATTATAACTTACAAATGTGGATAAATAAATAAATAAAAAACACGTTAAAGTTTATTCTGCTGTTTCCAAAGTAGCCTGAACAGATTTTTCAAAAGAAGCAGCAAACATAACATATCCATACTCACTGTTTCTTTCTCTGCGCTGCCCTCCTGTCAGTTATGTTGCTCTTGAAAGTTGGTGGTTACCACAACAACCAGTAACCATGGCGTGAATCAGGGTCAGTTCTGTGTTTTCTTCCCCAGCGTTATATTAGATAGATTTAATCATACACTGGGTTTCATGATGTTGTGCATTTTAGGTGAAATCTGTTGGTGTTGCAGCCGTGCAGCCTTGAAGCAACAAATGCATGGACCTGTTTTCCAGCGTCACTCTTGGACAGAATATTTCTAATCTGGAGGTGAAAAGGGAAATTGTATTAGTTTAATATGGATTTAAGATACTTTACCTTGTTATTTGATATTTTTCAGAAGTTTTGGTTCAAAAACATAAAGAAGAAAGAAAGGATGGATTGGACTAATCAGGAATTATGGATAGATGTAGCTGAGTATCATCAGCATAACATAACATAAAGTTCTAACATTCAAAATGGTGAGAAATATCTATGAAACTAAGGCTGAAGTGACAGAAATACAAAACTAAAAGCAACTTGGATATGTGGTTCTAAAACCAATACACATCTGACTTTTTCAAATATTATCTGCGTCTGCATGGCAAGGTCGCATTTATTTGACCTTATGCTCAATAAAAGTCACTATTCTGCATCCCGGGAAGGAAAATGACGACTCTGGTGGACAATAATCCAGAATAAATTGTTAACTTATTCATGTATCCTCGTTTATATCCGCAAACACTGAGCAGTTCTTCTTTCTTATGGTGGCTGGCAAAGCATTGAGCACGCTGTCTGTGTGTGACATTATCTCCTGAGCATCCAGGACACTTACAGCGATCACAGAGATGTGTGAATGACCATGCAAAAAAAAAGAAAATCAGATTTCACAAAAAAGCCGAAAAGGTTATCGGTAGAGTTAAAGGTTATCGGTAGAGTTAAGGCCGACTCTGAACATTGTAGCAGAAAAATGGGAGAACATGACACCAACAACCGTTTTAAGTCCTTTAGAGGTATTTATTTTTAAAACATAAGTCTAGGGGATATGAGCACTCTGTCATGTTCCAGGAACCACCTCAGTCTGACCTGCCATCCTTCCCAGATCTCCTTCAAGCAGGTCAGAATCTCCCGCCTGGTTTTCCAACGCTCTTTTGGAGGTCCAGGTTGACCCGTGTCTCCATGCGACCTTAGGCGCCTCTCGATCCAGGACCTTAATGGATTGACACTACAGGTCATTGATTACTGTTGAATAAATTGGAGAAATATGGTATAATGTTGGTTGAGGCTGCTCTGGAGGACAACAAAGAAATCTGTCTGCTTTCGATTAAAGTACAAAGAGATGAGGGATGAATCCAGACTTTAAGTGATCTAATCTTACTGTTATTTCCCTAGGCGTTCTGGCTCAGAGAAAGCCTCTTGCTATTGGCTTCTTCAACAGACTGTGCTTGTTTTTGCTCTATAAAAATGTAAAAAAAGAAATTTTATGGTCACCGTGGTGCTTTAATAACAGTAAAGAAAGATGATTATTATAAAGTTTATAAAATACAGTTGAGTTTGTGTTAACACTAATGTGATGAAAGGCGATATTATCTAAAATTATAAAATAATTAATTATAATGATTCAGTATTAAAAATAGGAACAAATGTAACATAATGACATGTTAAAGTAACACAGGACAACAACAGCTTCATGTTTTAGTGAACTCTTACCATTCCTTTGCCTCATATAGCTACCAACTGCAACCAGAAACAGGACCACAAGCACAATTGGTATCGCCACGACTGCAGGCTGAATCTCTGAAATTACAGCGTTGGTTATTGAAACGAAACCACAATCATCTGACATGTGGGAATAAATTCATAATTTGGACACCATCAGAACCATCAGAATTAAAAGCACAATGCAATCGTCAAATGACAAAGAGTATCTAATCCAATCTGGTTTCATGTTCAAGAAGTATTAAGAAGTGTTATTAAATCATGAATAAAATGAGCAACAATGTTTTCGCGTCCAGTTTTAATATCCACAACTGATTACAAACAGACCTTTTATATTTGCAGCAGCTTACCTTGAGGGACAATGGGGTTAAGGACCTCATCACTGGACGAGATGCTAAAGGGGTTTATCAACTTGCAGACAAAGGAGCGCTCCATGTTATTCTAAGAAGAAAATGAAGCATCATGGATTCATCCTGAGTTCTTAAAATCGTTTCCGCATCTTAAAACATACCCTTGTTAAGCTAATCTTCATGTTAGTGGACAGCAGTTTGTCTCCTGCTTCCCATCTATACATGACGGGTCCAAAATGAGAAGTGATGTTGGCTTCACAGGTGAGGTCACAAACTGTCTTACCATTGTTGCATTCTACGGACACTGTGGGTTTTGGGACCGGTTCTGACCGAAACACCATAGGATTAGCATCCACTGGACTTAGATTAAACCAACAACACTCAGTCAAACCTGCAGAACTCACTTATAACCCAGAGCTCTATCACATCAAGAATCTTGCTGTCAATCTCAGGGTTGTACTTGCCGGTGTCCTCTACTGTTAGCTTTTCAATGATCAAACTTCCAGTTGGTTTGTCCAAACGACAGCGACCTGGAGGCAGGATCCAAATACAGGCATCAGGCATAAATGAATCTGCAGGGTTTCGGGTTTTACGATGAGTCAATCACACGGGAACTTACCAATAATCTCCTAAACAAACTGCATCACCTCCAGACCTCCACTGCATGATGGCGTTCATGTTGTGCATCCAGGTTATGGTTGACATGGACTCAAAGGTCTGACTTGGATGCAGGATAACTGAGTCACCAATTTTTGCGAAGATCATACGAGCTATGAATGAAAAACAAAAACATTTGTATTACTTTCTGTAAACTTTTTCCTGTTCATTAGCAGCTTTCATGTTTTGATCATTTCTATGTTTAATTTTTTCTTTAATCTCATAAAAAAGTCAATCTGCACATATGATCATAAAAACTCTTATAGCCTGATCTCCAGATACAAATTCTCTATCATGCAAGTCGACCGTTTTTTTTCTCCAAGGGGAAAAAAGGGTAATTTTAGAGCATGGCCAATATTGTATGCATTCCTTTTTTTAAATTTAAGTTACTGTGATATTTACGATAATTGTCTTTTTGAAACCTTTAAATATATAAAGTGTATAAAGTTTGAAGTTTACAGGTTAATTACAAAAAAGGCACTAAAAATTGACAAAATCCCTGTAGCTATCAGGTTATAAAAATGTCCAACTCTGACTGTTCGTCTAATTTCTCTCTGGACCAATTTATTTATAAATTAACACATGTGCATTCTTGTTATTATTTTACTAATTTAGTCATATTTCACTTAAAATATTTCATTATAACATTTTGGATGGAGGAGCTGTCAGCATACAAGTAGTAATAATAAAGTATATTCTTTTTGTAATTATGTCACTTCTTTGTCTACTAAGCAGAAATGCAACCAAATAAAACAATAAAATCACTGTTTACTCACCACAGTCACTGTCCTGCATGAAGTAAAGGAGGAGCACAGCAGAAACAGTCCAGAAAGCAGACATGATCCTAACATGAAAAATACCGAGACCAAAAAAACAACGTCGACTAATAATACTGGTGATGAGTGTCAGCAGCAGATGAAATGTTTAAGCTGTGTGGAGAAAGAAATAATGAAGTTAGTATAAAGGCAGTGTGAAAAATATGTGAAGCTAACTTCTGTTTTTCTCAACAGATCTTTGGAGATGATTCAGAAAAATATTTTAAAAATGAAACATCAGACATATTCATCACGTAATTCAAGTGTTTAATTCTGTTTGGCTTGACGATTGCTTTGGTTCTATCAACTCCGACTGCTAATTGAACACGAAGATCAACTTCTACTTTCTAAAAAGCTAAAAAACAGGAAAACAGTCAAAATAAAACTGATGCATCCTTCAATCATACATAATAAAAGGATGAGTATTAATAAAAAAAAACCATTTCTTCAGATGTAAGAGTGAAAAATAATAATGAACGACGAACCAGCTTCAAATAAATGACTCAAGTTGCTCATTATAACTTACAAATGTGGAAAAAAAATAAAAAAAACACGTTAAAGTTTATTCTGCTGTTTCCAAAGTAGCCTGAACAGATTTTTCAAAAGAAGCAGCAAACATAACATATCCATACTCACTGTTTCTTTCTCTGCGCTGCCCTCCTGTCAGTTATGTTGCTCTTGAAAGTTGGTGGTTACCACAACAACCAGTAACCATGGCGTGAATCAGGGTCAGTTCTGTGTTTTCTTCCCCAGCGTTATATTAGATAGATTTAATCATACACTGGGTTTCATGATGTTGTGCATTTTAGGTGAAATCTGTTGGTGTTGCAGCCGTGCAGCCTTGAAGCAACAAATGCATGGACCTGTTTGTGTTGTATTGCAAAAAACACACACACAAAAAAAAACAACGAGCAACTCGTTCAACAGTCCGACTCAAAATGTTCAGACCACAGAACAGACTTGCTTTGCCACTAGTTTATTAAATATGCTTCTAACTCAACATGTTTAAATGAGAAAACTTGAATAAACACCATTCTTTGTGGTGTAAAGGTATTGTTGTTACTCAACAACCAATAGAAACTACTACTACTGCATTTTGTTTGTTGTGATGTTACAAAGAAAAAGCTCAAGAGGTGATTTGCTCGATTCAATGCATCTCTGATGAAATTAGAGTTCAGTGATCGTTTGAAGTTCCTGGCTTTTTTCTTCATCATCCTGGAGAGAAAGGTGTCCTTGTCTAGACTTCATTGCAGGAGAGAACAATCTGTCACCACACCAGAAACAAAAGAGGGAAATTGAACTTACTGCAAATAAATGTTGTGTATTGAAAAGAACAAACTGCTGTTTGGTTTTTCTCTTTAGTTTTTTGTAAAAAAAATGTTCAATATTCCAAAACAAAAGTCTCCATCAAACAGTTGTAGTTTCTAAATGATTCTCCACAATCTGCAGCTTCTCTTTTATAATTCAAGGTTTTCTTCCTCTACTTACTGCATGTACATTTGGCACAGAGGTTAAAGTTCAAGCTACATTGGTAAAGGTTTTTATAGAAGATCTAGTAACTCACCCACTTTCAACACTTTCCAAACTTATTTCTGCAACAGAGATAAAAATGTGCGTTCAGCTACGTTTCTTTTTTCAAGCTGATATCTGACTGAATTGAAATGTGAAGTTATATTATTTCAAATTGATCTATTTCCATAAAAAATGTAAACAAAACAAGCCATTCCATCATATAAGAGTGACAATAAACATCAGCTCTCCATTTATAAAACTTCTAATTTCATGGAAATTGAAGCTACAAAGGTCAACTCCAACAGCCAGACTCCAGCTATTAGATTCTTGAGCTAACATGATGAATTACTGTTGAGTAAATTAGAGAAATATGGAGTAAAAAAAAGAATCTTTGAAGCTGGGCAGATGTGAGTCATGTTTTGTTGCTTTTTTCTGAGAAAACTTGCTGACATGTTGGTTCAGAGGGCAACAAGGAAATCTGTCTGCTTTCGATCAAAGTGCAAATAAATTAGGGATGAATCCAGACTGTAAATGATCTAATCTTACCACTTTCCTTCATGGTTTTCAGGCTCATAGACCTGTCGTCATGGGCTTCTTCAACAGTCTGTGCTTGTTTTTGCTCTGTAAAAGTAAAAACGAAGAACCTCTGTTTAATCACAGTGGAACAAAGGTTGTTTTTATCAAACTTACAGAAGAGTTTATTTTTACACCAAGGCAGCACACTTAGGAAAATGTTGTAAAGGCAATAATAAAGCTAAATATGGCATTGACACAATCAGGTGTTGAATATGTCTGGTTTCATCTTTCAGTCTGCACTTCCTTCTCTGTGTGACCTTTAGCATTTTTGGTAACGCTTTTGTGTCCAGTGTGAGCTTTTGCTCTCACTAACTGGTTAAAGATACCATCAGCATGAAAGACACAAACCAACAATTACTGCACTCCAAACAGTCCTTTGCAATATACATATTGTGCACACTGATACTGCGATGATGATATGTTTGCGATGTATATTGTACAGGCAATAGTTTACACATTTTAGTAGAGAAAAACTTCAAAATGACACATTTAGCTGCGTTTTCTGATTAAATTACTGCCAACTGACAAGGAAATGTTAGTTTTTCAACAAAATTCAAAGCTATTTGTGAAAAGTAAATGTATGGACCCACCAGAACAGATAAACACAAACCCTTTTAACTTGTTTTTGTCCAAAAATGGGGAAAAATGTAACATGATGAGACGTCATAATAATTGTCACCTTTCCTGTGCTTAAAATAGCCACCAGCCACAACCAGACCCAGGACCAGAAGCACAACCGGTACCACCACTGCTGCAGGATGAACCCCTGGAATTACAGAGTTAATTATTAAACTAAATCAGTCAGTGAAACACACCCAACACATGCAGCTCTATTTACTCTGGCTCTATGTGGCAGAAACGTAACATTGCATCCACCATGACAGCATCATGCTAAGCTTTTCATCTGCAAGGACAAGGAGGCTGCTTCAATTATTTACATTCTATCATTTTGTAATTTTTCTGTTTTTCACCGTTTTCTGAGGTCGCCATGTTGGTTATTTTTCTTATGATCTGTTTATCAGTTCATCCCTGGTTCCTGTCTTTAGCCTTTCTCCATTTTTTTGAATTTACTTTGTTTATTTTCTGTGTTCATCATTATCGGCATGTCAGTTTATTTTTCCCAGGCTTAGTTCCTCTTTGTTATGAACTTTAAAAAAAGTACTCTCCCACAAATTTTTTTAATCTATTTATTTTATAATTATGACTTACAGTGATACTACATCATTTTCATGAGGTATTTAAGTCATAAAAATGAGATAAAAGTGTTCATCTTTCCTTATGACTTTGCTTTCTCATAGTTATGAACTGGTTAAGTCATAATCATGAGATATAATATGCATATTTTTTTTTATCAGTGGCAGAAATTCCCCTCTATAGTTTTTGCTCTTCTGTCACTATTAAATGTTTTAATAAAACAAAACAAATAATATAAAAGATTGACAGAATAAATAATACAGTTGTTAAATGATGATTTCATTTATTAATAAAAAACAGGGTAAAAGTTATTTCCTCCAGGTTCAGTTTTAATATCAAGACATTTTAAAAAAGACAGGAATGTTTGCAGCTCACCTCTAGTAATGGGGGTAGCCACCTCATCGCTGGACGAGGTGCTAACAGGGTTTTTCACCTTGCAAGTGTAAGCACGACTTAGATTTTTCTAAGAAGCAAATGGAAAACAGCTCTAAACCAGCCCATCATGGTTTCACTGAGTTCTTAAAAGCATTTCTCCACAGACAAATGGATTTGTCTTGAAACATACCTCTGTTAAGCTCAGATGACTATCACTGGACACCACCTTGTTTTCTGCTTCCCATTTATACGTGACGGGTCCAAACTTAGGACTGATGTTGGCTTTACAGGTGAGGTCACAGAGTGTTTTCTGATCGTTGCATTTTAAGAGCACCATAGGTTTTGGGACCGGTTCTGACAGAAACACCAACAGATTACCGTCCACTGGATTCAGATTAAAACCAATAAAGTTCAGTTAAACCTGGTGAGCTCACCGATGACGTTGAGTATCACTGGGTTAAGAACCATGTTGTTAATCTCAGGTGTGTAACGGCCGGTGTCCTCTAATGTCAGGTTGTGGATGATCAAACTTCCTGTTGTTTTCTCCATGTCACTGCGACCTGGAGGCAGAAACCAAATGAAGACATCGCATCAGTGAATAAAGCAGGTTTTGCGACACTTAGCGGCTCAATAACAAGTTAATTTACCTTTAAAACTTTTGTAAAAAGTAATGTCCTGTCCAAACCACTCCAAGACAGGGGTCACTTCATTCCCCCAGCCAATGGAAGTGATGACATCAAAACTCTGGCCTGGATGTAGGACAACCGAGTCTCCGACTTTTACATAGATCACAGTAGCTGTGAATGAAAAACAAGAAATTTTACTTCTTCCTGCAAAATTTTCTGTTTCTTTATAATATCTACTTTTACTTTTTTTTAATTTAACTTATAACCGAAGCAAAACAGAACTAAATAAAACAATATATTCCATATTTGTACTCACCACAACTCTTCTGCACCATTAAATTAACAAGGAGAACCGCAAAGAAAGTCCAGAAAACAGACATGATCCTAAAATGAAAAGTACCAAAAACACAACTTTGAGAAATGACTCTGGTAATGAGTCTGCAGAAATAAAACACATACTTCATTCATACACTATGAAAACATGCATCTGTGCAAATTAAAAAAAAACATTTTGGTTCAACGGAAGAACCATTCAGATAAATGATTCACATTAATCATCATAGCTTACAAATGCAGAAATGTAAAAACAAAAATACCTTAAGTATCCCTTTGGTTTCCAAACAGTCTGTTCGCACAAAGCTAATAAGACAGCATGACGTACTGCACTGGATCATCAGTTAAATAAAACTGTTAAATAAAACTGTTAAATAAAACTGTTATGTTTCTCAGTTGGTGGTTACCACAGTAACAAGCAACAGGAAGCTCCTCCCCTTTTCTGTAGCTATCTTCCAATATTAAGCATTACCACAAATATTAGACCAATATAATTATACACAGGGTTTTGTGTGTATAATTTAGCAAAGTTTTAACATTTAAGTGTTTAATTTTACAACTCTGTAGTTTGTTTAGGCTTATTTGTTGTATTTTATTCAACGTCTAGAAACTTATGTTAACCACCAACTTGTTTTTTTTCCCCTTGTTTGTTTTTTTTTTACTTTTTTAGTACAAAATAATGTTTCAGTTACTTGTGTGATAGTTATTGAATGGTATTCTAGTAGAGAACATATTTTGTTTTTTAACCTTTAGTTAGCCAGGTAAAAATTTATTGAGACTAAAGTTTCTTTAATAAGAGACAGAATACAAAAATTAGACTTTACATTGTTAGTTAAGAGATAAGAAACACTCAGTGATAAAATACAAAAACAACCTTTTTAAAGAAGTTATATCTGGAAAGTAATCACAGATGAAATGCGTAATGAATCAATATTTTTCACTTTTTTAAGCTAGATTGCTGAAATAAATTAACTTTATGATATTAAAGTCGACTGAGATGCGTTATTGTTTAGGCTTAGTTGCCAAGTGAATGATGGCCTCCATGTGGTTTCCAGGAAAGAGTCCGGTGCTCCCGTTCATCACGCCGTCAAACAAGCCACTAAGGAACCAAAAAAAAAGAATAAAGACTATTATACCAAACTGTAATGCCATTAAAACCTCTACATTATATTGATAATTATTTGTAGATATATGGAACCTCTTTCTGACACCGAATTACATAAATTCCTGTAGTTTAATCCTGGAAACCATGAGGCTTCTGGTATAAATTTGGTAGCACCGCTGATCTGCAGATGCAATATATTAATTTTGAAGTGTAATATTTCAACTTTGCTCTTTTTTACTTTGAATTAGAAGCTGAAGGGACACCTTTACTTGTAATTAGATCATTTTTGACCAATCCGAGAAAAGCTTCAATCAGATGAGGTTATTAAAAAGACGATAATCTCTAAACCTCTAAACCATTAATTTAGGATATCAATTCAAAAAGCATAAGAACTGTGGGAATAAAGTTATATTTGATGTGATTAATGTGAAATATTACATATTTTTTTATTATGAATTGAGGGAATTTGATAAAAAATTTGGTAGTCATAATATATTAGCCCATAATAAATTTTTCTAATACAGAACTAAAGGTATGAGGCAATATTTATGCCAAATGCCATGTAACAATTAATAAATAGAGAATAAAAACATTCTAAACGTTGATGTTTCTGTACATATTTTGTAATATTATCTATTTTGATGCTATTGGGAGGAAATGGCATCAAAAAGTTTAGGAACCTTTGTTGTTCCAAACAACTTCAGTTATTTAAGGTGAATTTAAACAGATTAACAACAAAAACCTTCAGATCCACCTCTTCAGCAGGTGAATCAATGGGCAACGCGTCTGAGAACAGAAGGAGATTTAGGGTTGAGTGAGCGTCGCACTTCCTGGTTCAGAGAAACCCATCGTTACCCATTTAGCTGATGCACAGTCAAAATATGCTTTTTTTTAATTAAGCTTGTAATTTAGGCCAATGAAACTCTCTGAAAGAAATTGCTAAATATCTAATAACTAAAGTAGCTAAAATTGTAAATCACTCACCAACTCCGGTCATGGCACAAAGTCTTCCTGTAATTTAAATGAAAATGTTTAAGATTTTCCTTCCTTTTTTGATACAGACAAAAAAGCTTTAACTTTTAAACAAGCAGTTAATGTTAAATGTAATATGAAGTTTGCATTTTCCAGTGTAGTAAACTTTATTCTTCTGTTAGCTATTGATATTTACACAATAAAGCTCAGCTGAAATGAACATTAAAAGCCAATGTTTACTTAGAGTAGCTAAATAAAGCATAAAAAAGTGAGAATATTGAATTTTTTTGTGGATTCTTACGTTTTTTCCATGCAGCAAAGAGCCCAACCCCAACCAGAATCCCTGCTATAATCAGGAGCTTCACAACCAAAGCAGCATATTTAAAATTTTCTGCAAAAAAATTGAAAATTTAATTAGCAAACTGCACTGTTTACAGCTGTGTTTACAGCTGAGTTTACACCGAGTTTCAGGACATTTTAGAACAAAGAAATAAAAATATCCAGAATGTGCAAAGGATCAATGATATTCTTTTTTTTACTGCAGAAAAAAACTTTTTTTAAACAAAATAATCTTTGGATCTTCAATGCTCTTCACATGTATATGGGGCGAGGGAGAAACACTGTTTATCGTATAAAAAGAAGACTTTTCTAACAGGAATATGTCAGATGGATGTGTTTTAACTCACCTCTACTCACAGGGTTTGATACCTCTTCACTGAAATTGCTGCTAATGGGGTTTCCCAATGTACAGGAGAAGGAGCTCTCTTTATTGTCCTAAGAAACAAATGAAAAGCAGCTCAAAAGTAGTGAAGTTGTAACTTATATCCATTCGATAATCTCCACTCAGAGCTTAAATGTGATTCATCTTGACAACTCGGTTACATCCTGATTTAGATCACGTTGTGTTTGTACCGTTGTTATGCTCAGCTCCTTGTCGTTGGACAACTCTGTGTCTTCTGACTCCCATTTATATGTGACAGGTCCAAACTCAGAGGAGATGTTGGCTTCACAGGTGAGATTACAGACGGTTTCCTCATTGTTGCAGTCTACCGATATTGTGGGTTTTGGAACCGGTTCTGACACAAACGCCAACAGATTACCATCAACTGCATTCGGGTGAAAACCAAACAAATTTGCTGAAACTCACTGATAATCCTGAGTTCCTTTTTGTCAAGAACTCTGTTGTTGATGTCAAATGTGTAGCTGCCGCTGTCATCTAGTGTCAGATTGTTGATGATCAAACTTCCACTTTCTATGTCCAAGTCACAGCGACCTGGAGGCAGAATCCAGAAAAAGAGATTATGCAAAAATTAATTTGCAGAGTTTTACAGTCAATGGCTCAATCGCAGGTGAACTTGCCTTTAAAATCTCTGTAACAAGTAACGTTTCTGCCAAACCAGCGCAAGACGGGGTCCCTTTTGTGCTTCCACGTTACGCTACTGATGATATAAAACCTTTGACCTGGTGACAGGGCAACTGAATCGCCTACTTTTTTGTAGATTAAATCAGCTGTGAATGAAAAACAAGAATAATTTATTTGACATGTCAAACACTTTCTGTCATATCTCCTTTCCAGATCCATTTTACTTTTAGTTTATTTACTTCTGACTCAAAAGAAGTAAAGCTTCATGTATAATTAGAGTAAATGGCTCTAATCGTCAGGTTCTGTGTCGTTTGAGTTGTTCTGGGGTTTGATTAGCTGAATCTGGTTTCATTATTATTCTGTGTTCCTTTGTCTCTCTAATTTGTGTAAAACAGTCTTGTTTGTATTTTATTTCACTTCAGTTCCGTCTTAGTTGTTCTACTTAAACTTAACAAATGTATGAATATTTTGTCAAATAGCTTTCAAAACACTCTGTTTCAGAAATTCAACAGATTTTTTTCCCCACAAAAGAACTGCTACAGTTCTTATAAATTATTAGCCGTTCGAGAAAGTCCAAAGAGACACTTGTGGCAGGATGCTGCAGGTTTTAAGAGGAGATTAAAGATGCTTAAGGTGTTAAAAAAAAAAAACTGTGAAATTTCTCTCTGGTTGTTATGAAGTCAACTTAAACTTTATATTGTTTTGCTAAAAAAAAAAGAAGCCAAGTTAAGCATTAAGATTACAACTTAAACGTTACCAAATTGTGTGTACGTATTGATGTTATACTCACCGATGGCAACTGTTGAAGGCACAGCTTGAAATATGTGAATAATCACAACTGAAACATACAGTAATACCATGGCTTAAAAAAAAACAAAAGAGAATTTTCAAATTGTAAATTAAATAAAAAATGCTTCAGCACGTACGGAGCGTCAGAAGCAAAAATGAGTGAGCAATGGAGATCTCAGACGTTAAAAAAGAAATGTGGACATCAGTGTATACTCTTGACAAGAAAGGAATCGGTGGTTTCCTGTTGATTGAGAACAGTGAACCTGTTCCGTCATGAGATAGAATTAACCTCACGATTCGAGCTTGTCCGAGGCTGTTTGGAGCGATCGTTGTTCGAAGAAAGAACTGAAGCAGCATCTTCTCATTCTTCATTCAAGTATAAATATATCCCCATTAACTGAGTCGACGCTTACGCTTTGCTGAAAGGGGAGACAGTAAACCACTAAAAACGATGTTCTCGACTGAATTAAAGCTGCAGGTACCATTTAATAAGTTTGTATTCAGCAGCTTTGCCGCGTGTTTCACATATGTTTTGTTTTCTGCAAGGGACTCCTTGGATTTCTTCTTCAGGAAGACACCCATAGATATGGCAAACCAAGTGAACAAGCTCATGCATCTTAAATATGCATAACTCATTTAGCATATCTAAAGGCCATTGTCTGGGATGCAAAGGCTGGGGTACAGGGACAGAGGACCATTGGGCAGTTCTTCAGGAAAAGCCATACACCATATCCATTCAGCTCCTACAAAGATCCAAATGACTGGTGTAGTATCTCTGTGTCAGGCTTCTCCCTCACAGACTGTTTGCTGGAGGAGGACAGACGTCAAGAGCCAGTTTTGTCGAGGCCCCTCCAACACAAAAATTCATACAACTCCCTGAGGGTTGGTATAAGAGCCTGGTGCACTACCATTTAAAATAAGACCTTCAATACAAGTAAAAAAAAAAAAAGAACTCTGCATTGGCCGGGAATCGAACCCGGGCCTCCCGCGTGGCAGGCGAGAATTCTACCACTGAACCACCAATGCTTGCATGTCAAACATTTGCCCTTGCAGACACACACACACGTGCGCACACACACACGCCTTGTTCTTCCACGTGGAGTCAGCTGCACTGGAGAATACCAGGTGGCAGGCTCTCCGCAGCTCCTCGTTAGTATAGTGGTGAGT